TACTGTCCCACGTCCGAGATGGCAGCCGACTATTTGACCAAGAAGCTCGGGAAGCAGAAATTCGAGTACTGCATGTTGCTGACTGGACAAAGCCACGTCATCAAGAGCGACACTCCAGAAGCGAAGGGGAGTGTTGGAAACAATAAATTGTAAACGCCTCTGTCGTGTCGAAACACCACACCAGAAGCGAAGCACGCCACATCGAAGCACCCGCGAGTCAACCCTCGGAGGTTAAAAGAGGTTGCTGGAGGTTACGCGAAAGTCAAAGGTCAAGCGACCTTTGACCTGACAAGTGCAGCGCGACAGCAAGGACACACAACTGACTCGTTACAGAGCAGTTGCCCGAGTCGTCACTGTATCGAACCGCAACAGCAAAAGTAGTTACAACTATATCCTTTCGTATTCCTTGTAATCTTCTATATATTCTTGTATCCCTTTGCTATAATCAACTTACTTTGCCCTCACATACCAGCGCAAGGTGGTTCACAAAATTCTCCACTAATACGCTTCCGCTATTACATAGTCCTACCGGAGTTTTACCCCCGCAAAGATCCTAAGGGCTTTTCTCAGCCCAACAACAGAAAGAGTGAAAGCAGCTGGTTACCCTTATGACAAAGACTGGTTCAAATCCTATCCAGAGGCCTAGTGGTAGTACCTTGTGGTAGGGTAGAGCCTCCTTTCTGAAGTGCCTTGAATGCAGGGTAACTGAATGCAGACTTTAGATTTGCGGCGTCCATACTCCCAAGTTCATGGGAGACCTGGTGTGGCGGTTGTGCCTAGTGTGCTGGTGGTGCCTTGTTGTCTATATGCCTTATAATCAGGCTCTTTGCTGTGTCCTGGCTCTCAAGTTCATGGGGGAACTTGTACGGAGGTAGTGGCTTGTCCGGATGCAGTGCCTTGTGCTGTGTACTGGTGGTGCCTTGTTATTAAGACACCTTATTATCACCATTGCATTCAAGTTTATGGCGAACCTAATCTGGCGGTAGTGGTGGTGTGGCAACGTGCCACTGAGCCACCTGTGGTTGTTCCAGTCGCCTCATTGATGTACCAGTAAGTGTCGGATCGGGAACTTAGACCGTGGGACTAAGGCAGGAGCTTACGCGTAGGACTAGGAACAAGCATGGCGAGGGGATTTTGGAAGAAGAGGGTTTTACTAATGATGACCAACTACACAAGTATCAAGATACCAAGGGTGCACCATGCTGCGATCAGAAGTTGATCGTGGCCTAGGATCTACTCAGGAAGGTTCGCACGCAGGAAAGTAATGTTGGTGGGCCCTTGACCTCAATAGCAGAGTGAATGTAAAATGCTTGAGATAATAAAAACATGCAAATACAACGATATAAATATGAGTACATGGAATACGAAACGACCTAGCTAGCCATGTACTCTAAGGGGTACATTCCCTTATTCAAGTACATCCCCAACCGTGCGGCGCGTACAGTTTCGTAACTGTTCCCGCCAAAACCATCCTGCCTGCAGCTGCCCGATGCCGTCTGCTCCCGACGGTCCAGATGTGCTGTAACCGTCAGTCACTTCGATTCAATTCCAACTGTCTTACGCTTCGCGTTCATTCCTGATAGAGTGTGCTTCTCTTGCTGCGGTGAGGAGTGCACAGTAATATTAAATATTACTATTCGTAACACACCATTGAACAAGAATTGACATAACTAGTACACTGTTCTAAAGTTCAACGATTGATAAACTGTAATCAAAAGCATATAAACGATTTCACAAAAGCATTATACATGTATGCAATATTTCAGATGGCTCTCGAACGTTGCAATCTGGCGAATGTCAATGTCCATCAACGTATTACGAGAATACAGAGATTGGCTGAAGGTATAAATAAGATAAGATATGTTATTTGAACGTGTACAATAACGCATTATGTAAAGACGCGTGACAGGTCCAAGGGACAACCACCTTAGGGCGTGTGTGATTTTGCCGAACCTGACAAAGTTCGAACTCAAACCGCTTTGCACCGTGGCGAAACGTTTTTTAATTGTATTCTACCGTGACGAGCCGTTATATAAGTTCGAACTTTCAGTCAGGTTCGGCAAAATCACACACGCCCTTATATTGTCGTTCCAAATCCTGCTTTGTGCCAGAAATCGCGTGAACGAATCTGTGGTGCCAACGGACCTCTTGTGGCATGCTGATTGGGTAGAAAGATCCCTTCCTACCGCCCACCACTATCGTTAACCAATCCGTTTGATCGGTTCAACACCCAGACCTGTCGCTTGCCAATCCATCTGCATATGCCGCGAGCCCGCCGCTAGTCGGTGACCAGCACCGCCAATTTTGACTCACTAACAGACATTAGTCAAATACCTAGGGACATACTCTGACTTTTGACTTAGGGCGTGTTCCACGAGTTCGTTTACAGTTCTTTTTGACCATGGTAACCCTGTTTTTTGCTTTTGTAACCCTTCATAGTGGACAACTAGAAATGTGTCTTCATGACGCGCGACATTGACGTGCTGAATGCGTCAAAGGTTCAAATTCTAAGCGTTCAAAAACAGCTTCCAAGGTACGTATCATCACCTCTAATAGGTCCGCGTAACCCTCATTCTCGACCTCAGAATTCGCCCAGAGAAGGCGAACGGCCAATTTTGGCACAGTCGATTCGCAACGGCCCGGGTTACTGTTCGCGAACCATATCGAATGTGATTCGGGTTACGAGTTTTGTGTGAGCGGGGTGCTGAGGCCATATGGCGCAACTTCGTTTGGCGCAGTGCTGACGCGCTGCGAATCTTTTCCGTCATAGAGTACACTTTGCTGCTTTGTAAATTTTACGTAACTATTAAGTTTTTTTCCCCAAATGAACTCGTGGGACACGCCCTTACCTCGCTACATTGTCTTCTTGTAACTGCGCGTATCTACCACCCGCGTAGATCCGTCCCCAAACTTGGACTCTTGGTCGTTTTTGCCTCATACAATAGTGCCAGTGATCTTGCGGGTGTGCTGCTTTTGCGGCTGCTGCTGTGTTGCTAAATCTGACGGTGTACCTGCGCTGATTTGTCTGGCGCTCTGGCCAAATCTACTCATCATTAGTCATGGATCCGTTTCATAAAGCGCCTGGTGGGCATTTGCCTGCCACCTAGGGTGTAATCGGTACACTTACGTGTGTACACCTAACCACCGCTATTTTCTTTCGGTCTATCTTCAACCCCCACGTGTGCAAAGGGGTAGGCACCCTTCAAAACGTTTTTGACCGAGGGTTGTGTCGGACGTCATACGCTCTACGCAGAGTTAGTTCCTGACTCCTGAAAGCTACGCAATGGGATGCGCAACAACAAGCAGACTCCACACGAGCCGAAATTGTCTTACACTCGCCCGATTGAAATCTCCATTTGATGTCATTCATAGTCCCCTATAACGAGGTTTCTAACAGAAAACCCCAAAAGCTGGGCAGGGATTACATGAAAATCGGGAACAGTGCCAAGGTCAGAAGTTGAAAATAGCGGTGGCTAGGTGTACAGTAGTTTTCTTCTCCGCCACCTCCTTCCTCCCCCGACGTCCTTCTCCTCTCCCTCTCCCTGCAGCCATTATTTTGTGAAAGAGTAGAGTTGTTGACTCTGGGAAGAAAGGGGAGAGGGAGGGGATCCAGTAAGGAAGCGTGTCTGGCGTGCTTCGTCGCATTATGGTTTCGCGCCTCGACAGCATCGAGTCGAGAAGCAATGTGTCCGTTGAAGTGCGCCGCGGGAAACTGCAGTATTACCGCCCGCCCCGCCCGACGGTCCCAACCGTGCCCCATTTTGGTTTCGAACGACGAAGTCTGACTTTGGATGCTTTTTATCCCCTCCCGTTTGTGTCTAAAGGTGAATCTGCCGATTCGGGTTTAGGGTCCGGCGGCAGCGGCATGTCCCCTCTAAACCCCCCCGCGCCGCGCCATCCCTTCTCACCTCAACTCACCTCAAACGAGTCATACCGCGTGCACGCACGCACTCCCTTTCAGAAACAGATTCCGTCATACAGTAACAGTAACGCGGGGCGCGGGGGAGGGGCTCCATTCTTTCTTTCGATCATCCCTCCTCCTCCTCTCCTCCCCCACTTATCGATCCTGACCCGGGTCGGGTGGGATCTTAACAGTCACACACACTGCTGCTCCACTCGACGAGCCCTCTCCTCCAGAGACAATCTAAACATGTTTCTTTCAGCACCGGGATGTGCTTAGTAAGCACTGCCAATTTACTGTATGATAAATCTTGAAGCGAGTAGGACTAGCTGGCTGCAAGCTGTCCACAGCTGACTTGGTCTGACTGACCTCGGAGCTTTATGGTAATCATCAAGTTGAAGCGAGCAACGCGGTTTTCCTGCCTGTTCATTGCTTTAGTACCCTTCAAAACCGGCGTTCCGCGTGTGAGTGGAGAATACGTGACGGCTTCAAGTTGCGGTTCAAACTCTCTTCCAAATTCAGCTTCTGCGAGAGGCTTCTTTCTAGTACGTGTTATAGTAATATCACGCGGTTTCTGTCTGATTGGCTGTCTAGCCCCGCGGTTTTCAGAATACTTGACGACTAGGCAGCTGCCAGTGGTTGCGGAGCGAACTGAGCTCGCTGCGGTTCAAACTCTTCTCTTGACTCCCCAAGGAGCCAGGAGCACTGTTCCGCGGCAGAACCCCGCGGTTTCTGTTCGATCAGGGCCGCGTTTTCTACACTGTTCCGCGGAATTCGGAACTACGACTACTGTTGTCGCCCCTTCCCCCCACCTAGAGGAGGTCACGCGGCTAGGCATTCCCGTTCCACAAAGCCGCAGCGCCCCAGCCGGCGCTTGCAAACCGGGGAAAACAAGAGTACGCTATTATAAGTACTACTACTATTGAGATAGTCTAAGCGTCTTTGAACAGCGCCGCTTGGTGCGGCCTTGGAGCGTCAAAACAGCCTGTGAAACCCAACCTTCCGAACAGACCTGCTAGGACTCTCTGGTGACCCTCTGATCCGGTCAGCATTCCGACTCTCTGTCCTATATCATAGTAACCGTCTACTACGGCGTTTTATGGCTGTGGATTACCTGACGGGCGCGATCATCATGACTCCCAGCAGCAGCAGCAAGCACACTGGGGCCACTGGGGCCATTGGGGCCACTCCCACTCCCACCCTTGCTGCCAGTATCACGAACAACAACACCACCAGCAGCACTGGCGCCAGCAGCGTGGTAAGGACGCCAATGCAGCATCTGGCTGCTGCCGCCGCCGGGGGAAGCGGGGCTGCAAGCACAGCTGGGTGCAGCGGTGGTGGCACGGGTCACAGTGGCACCTTCATGGCTCGTGGTAACACCACCACGGCGAATTCGGGGGAGAATGCGGCACCACTGGCGCTGCGTCAAGTGGGATCCGCTCAGCAGCTCTCATCATCTGCCGCCGCGTTTCCTGCGGCGAGCTGCGGCCGTCACGTGGCTGTGGCTGGGGCGAATCCGGGTCCGAGAACCAGCGCGCCTGTGGCGCTGGCGGCGCTGTTCCCGCAGTGGGCGGCGGTGGATGCGGAGCAGCTGAGGCGCGTGCCCCAAGACGTGATGCCGGAGGATGCGCACTGCTGGCTGAAATACGGAGAGAAACGCCTCGTCAAGTCCGCCTGCCATAGGTGAGCATAAGTGTGGATTGGTGGGGGGAAGAGAGGATTGGGTGTGATGCTTGAGAGGGCTGTGGACGCGGAACAGCTGAGGCGCGGCGTGCCCCAAGACGTGATGCCAGAGCACGTGCACTGCTGGCTCAAGTTTGGCGAGAGAAGACTCGTCAAATTTGCTTGCCACAGGTGAGTGTCCGTGTGATTTGGAGTTGGAAGCAATTGGTTAATGTGATGCTTGAGAGGGTGATGGATGCTGCTATTACCCCCTTTGGTATCTATCCCTACATAATCTCATCTTCTTTCACCCCTCTGCCCCTCTCTTCCTGCCCTTGCTCCCCGCCTATCCCAGGTCGTACTTCCGCTGTGCGCGCTCCACGTGCCTTCCTCTGCCTGCTCACATCGTCCCCTGGTCTCAGCTTCTCCTCCCATCCCCACCCCCCTTCCCTCGGCTCTGCTCTCCCCGCCTATCCCAGGTCGTACTTCCGCTGTGCGCGCTCCACGTGCCTTCCTCTGCCTGCTCACATCGTCCCCTGGTCTCAGCTTCTCCTCCCATCCCCACCCCCCTTCCCTCGGCTCTGCTCTCCCCGCCTATCCCAGGTCGTACTTCCGCTGTGCGCGCTCCACGTGCCTTCCTCTGCCTGCTCACATCGTCCCCTGGTCTCAGCTTCTCCTCCCATCCCCACCCCCCTTCCCTCGGCTCTGCTCTCCCCGCCTATCCCAGGTCGTACTTCCGCTGTGCGCGCTCCACGTGCCTTCCTCTGCCTGCTCACATCGTCCCCTGGTCTCAGCTTCTCCTCCCATCCCCACCCCCCTTCCCTCGGCTCTGCTCTCCCCGCCTATCCCAGGTCGTACTTCCGCTGTGCGCGCTCCACGTGCCTTCCTCTGCCTGCCAGCGCTGACACTTTGCAAGACGAGGCAAGAGCGGCATCATCACCCGCTGCACCACTAGCAGCAGCCGCAATGCCACCCGCAACGCCAGCTTCGGCAGCAACAGCAACGCCTCCTGCAACGCCAGCAAAGGCGGCAGCAACGCCACCGCCATCACCAGCAGCGGCAGCAGCACCATCCGGAACACCAACATCTCTGTCCACGCAAGAGGATGGAACGGCAGCAACGGCAACAACGCCAGCAACGCCAGCAACGGCAGCAGCGTGTTCAGACTCAGCTGACGCTGCTGTGGCGGTGGCTGTTGCTGCTGCTGATGCCCATGCCCCTGCTGCTGCCGCTGGTGAAGCTTCTGATGCTGCTAATACTACTCCTCATCCCAAGGCTGATCCTGTCGCCGATTCCGATGCTGCTGAAAATGTTGCTGAGGCTGCTGGAGCCAACACTCCCACCCCAACCGCCGCACCCCCTCCCACCGTATTCCACCCCTGTCCGGCCCGCAAGCGGGTCGACTGGCAGCTGCTACCCCTCACCCCAGCCACCCACCCGTCGCAGTTGCCGCCCGGATTCGACGCGGCCGCCCACCACCGGGCGGCAGGCAAGCCGGCCGCATCGATAATATTTTTTCGAGTGACGTACCTGAACACGCACAACCACTGTGAGCCGCCTATTGGGCTTCGGTTTACACCCTCTGGTGGGTCACTGGAGGATGCAGCTTGTCAGGCTGGGGGTGGTACCTGTGGCCAGTCACCAGATGCAGCTGCTGCTGCTGTGGCTGGTTTAGTTGGGGTTTGGCCGGAGAGTGCAGTGGAAGGAGAGATGGTGGGTGAACAGCAGCCGACGCCGCCGCCACCGCAGCATTTGTTGCAGCAGCCGACGCCGCCGCCGCAGCAGCATTTGTTGCAGCAGCCGACGCCGCCGCCGCCGCAGCATTTGTTGCAGCAGCATTTGCAGCACTTGGTGCAGCAGAGGCAGCAGCGGCAGCAGCAGATGCAGCAGCAGCATCAGATGCAGCAAATGCAGCAACAGCAGCAAGGGCAGGGGCAGCAGCAGCAGATGCACCAGGGGCAGCAGCAGCAGCAACAACAGCAAGGGCAGCAGCAGTGGCAAGTGCAGCAGCAGTGGCAGCAGATGCAGCAGCAGCATCAGATGCAGCAAATGCATCAACAGCAGCAAGGGCAGGGGCAGCAGCAGCAGATGCACCAGGGGCAGCAGCAGCAGCAACAACAGCAAGGGCAGCAGCAGTGGCAAGTGCAGCAGCAGTGGCAGCAGCAATGGCAGCAGCAGGGGCAAGGGCAGCAGCAGCAACAGCAGCAGGAGCAGCAGCAGCAGTGGCAGCAGCAAGGGCAACAGCAGGGCAACATGAGTTCTCCTGGCCCTTTACGACTTTCGACAGCAATGCACACATCCCCGCACACACAGCACGCGGCACAGCACGCAGCAGCACACCCCTGGCAGCAGCAGATGCAGCCCCTGCAACAGCATCAACAGCAGCCTCGTCCACAGCCGCTGCAGCAGCAGCAGCAGCAGCAGCAGCAGCAGCAGCAGCAGCAGCAGCAGCAGCAGCAGCAGCAGCAGCAAGAGGAGTGCAGAGCGGTGCTGCAGTCTAACTCCGCCCCGTGCTGCCTAACCCAGCAGCGCTCTCCCACGCCCACCTCTTTGGGCAAGCGGTCGCGTGAAGACGACCCCTCCTTGATGTCAGAACCCTGCTTGCCCTCCCATGCCCCCCGCGCCCGCTACACCTCCCGGGACTTCAACCTCCCCACGTTAAACTCTTATCAAGGATTCCAACCCTCCCAGCGGCTGCAGCCCTCCCCTGAACCGAAATCCATTCGTGTGGGGTTCCATGTGGAGCAGGCCTTCTCTCAAGCTCTCCCGCCCACTCAAGCTTCTCTGGCATCTGCTGCAAATCACGCCTCTCCTGCCACGAATCACGCCTCTCCCTCCTCTCATGTCTCTTCTGCATCTCACGTTTCCTCAGCCTCCCCGTCCGCCTCTCATCCGTCTCACTCATCCCCCGCCTCTGCTGCCGCAACTCACTCCTCTGCTGCCGCGACTCACGCATTCACGCCGCCCAGGCCGATCAAAGTGAGCTTCACTCCTCCCGCTGACCGTGATTCCCCGTGGAGTAACAGCTGCGGCCAGGGGGTGTGGAAGGATGCTTGGAGGTGCACTGTGGTGCAGCCGTTGCCTCGGCAGCAGCAGCAGCAGCAGCAGCAGCAGCAGCAGCAGCAGCAGCAGCAGCAGCAGCAGCAGCAGCAGCAGCAGCAGCAGCAGCAGCAGCAGCAGCAGCAGCAGCAGCAGCAGCAGCAGCAGCAGCAGCAGCAGCAGCAGCAGCAGCAGCAGCAGCAGCAAGCGCAGCAGCAGCAACTGAGGCAACCGAAGAGGCAGCAGCAGCCTCTTAACCTGCTCTCCTCGCTCACCCGTCTCGCAGTTTCCGCTGCTGCCAACACTGCTGCCTGCAACACTCCTCCTGCTTCTGCTGCTGCCGACACTGCTGGAGCCATTGATGCCGCTGGCTGCAGTGCTGTTGGTGCTGCTGGTGCCGCTCCAGTGGTCCCCCCATTCCCATCCGCACCAGCCCTTCCAGTCACCGCCCCCCCAACCGCCCCACTACCTGTCCCCCCCTCCAATCCCCCGTCAAACGCCCCGCTTTACGCCCCTGTGAGTGCGCCAGCGGACTCGCACTCGCTGCTGCTCTCAGTGCTCCGCGCCAATCTCTCCCGTGCTCACCTCCTGTCAAGCCCCCGCGGTGCTGACGGCGGCAGCAGCCCAATCAGCAGCACCGGCGAGAGGAACGACAGCTGGCAGCGCGCCGTGGCGGGCGGCGGCGATAATTCCGGGCGGCCTATGAGCAGAAGCGGCAGCGCGACTGATGCAGGCGCGGCACTTGTCTCTTCCCCCGTGGCGGGTGGTGGCATTGGCGGTTACGGGCGGTCTATGAGCAGGAGCAGTGCGACTAATGCAGGTGTGGCACTTGTGCCTAACCCTGTGAGTGCGGCTGGTGATCAGTTTGATGACTCAGGACCACGTCAGCTGCAGGGGCTGCTGGAGGATATGGTGCCACGTCAGCTGCTGCAGGGCCCGCAACGAGTCAAAGAAGCAGTACAGTATCGCGCATCATCTGTTGCTGCAGCAACAGCAACAGGAGAAGGAGCAGCGTTCCAAACCCCAGCCACATCAATAGCACCAGATAGGTCAGCAGCAGCATCTGTGCCATTTCAGAACACTGAAAGCATTGCGGTGGAAGCAGAACGATCAGCACAGCGGCAACTGTGGGCCCCGCTACAAGCTCAAGCCCCTGCTATGGTACCAGCTGTGGCATCAGCTGCTGCTATGGCACCAACTGCTGCGCAAGACCTGTCGCCTCCACTGCTCCCTATCGCTGCCCACACCCCGTACCAAGCAGCAGCAACAGCGGCGGCAGTAGCAACAGGAGCAGCAGCGCATTGCATGTCGCCTCATGCGTTGCCACAGCCACTCGTTTCTGAGCTGCCGCCCACTGCAGTGTCCCCGGCCGCTCTTGTGCTGCCCACTCTGTACTCCCCGTGCTGTCAGTGCGAGTGCCGGCAATCCCAAGGGGCGGGGCAACAGCAGCAACAGGAGCAGCAGCAAGTGAAGTACCAGCAGCGTCCAGTGGTGCTTCAGATGAGGCCCGATGCTACGGTCCAAGGGTGTGTTCAGTCTGCAGGGCAAGGGCGTGTTCAGGCTCCAGTGCAAGCGAAGCCAGAGGCTGTTCTGATGGACATGTCAGCACGGATTCAGGCTTCTCGATTAGAGAGGCAACCGCAGCTAGCATCGCCTTCTTTCACCACTCCTCCTAACACTTCCCCCACTAGCTTGCATCGTCCCGCCGCATCTCTCGCTCCCGTCCTCAACCACTTTCCGAACCTCGTCCGGAATCAGGACCAACATGCAGGCAATGCTGCCTTGCAGCTGCACCAGTTCCACCTTCCCCAGGTGCCACCTGCTCAGGCAGCTCAGGCAGCTCAATCTACTCATATCCATGGCGACACAAATCACACTCGCGATTTCATGGGTATGGCCTGCAATTCTGTGTGTGCCTCAGGTGTCGCTTCGAGCCCTGCTATTCCTACCACTGCTGCCGCTGCCACTGCCGCTGCCGCCGCTGCTGCTGCTGCTGCCGGTACGCAGACCCCGGGGGTGCAATTCACTTGCACTCAGAGCGTCGGGCTTGACGGCTCGGGCGTCATGGGTGGCGTGGGTGGCATGGGGTGTGGGGGCGGCACGGGCGGCGTGGGGGAGGATGAGTTGCTGGTGGAGGCGGCAGCATGGCTGGCGGAGCAGGGAGGGCTGGAGACTCTTGATTGGCTGCCGGACCTCTCAGGGTAATGCTTGTCATGTGACATAAGGCGAACCTCAGTAGTACCTCAATGGGAGCAGGGAGGGCTGGAGACTCTTGATTGGCTGCCGGACCTCTCAAGGTGATGCCAAAGGCTCCTGTCATGTGACATAAGGAGAACCTCAATACCTCAATGGAGAGCGGGCTGGCACGGGGAGGGGGATTGAAGATGATTCGATTGAGGAAGACTTGAAGTCTAGAGATGGGTGGATGGCTCTTGAATGTCCTGGTTGCCGGAATCGCAAAGCATGTGTGCGTGTGTGTGCTTATGCAGAGGATAGGGTGCTGCGGGCTTGATGTAGGTGATCTTGTGTGTGTGGTATGTATTATTGGAAATATAATCTACTCGTTTTTGTTTGTGTGCATTTTCCGAACGCAAGAAACCACGAGAGCCGAACTTATAGCTAAAACGAAATCGGATCATCTTTATAACGCGTGAGGCGATCAGCCACACAAGCCGACCAGGTAGGATAACCTGGCGTGAAACCCGACCATGTCTCACAGTCAGGCAACCTGGGCGGCCATGGAAGCGGCCCGCGCGCCGACATGCGCTTCTAGCTCGCGGCTGGTTTCCCGTCAGAATTGCTCGCGACAGGAACAATGTTTCCCTCCGCGTGCCGCCGGAATTTCACCCGTGCAGTCGATTCGACCGTCGCCGTCGCTGGTCAGTTCTCCGCTTCTCCTGCCTCGTTTCGCCTTTGGAACTGCCGGCATTGCTAGTAACAAACGACAACCGTCTAGCCGAGACTCTCTCCGTCAGTCAGACAGACGTGGACGTACGCCAGCGAGCCTCTCAGCAATTCAACCGTCGGTTTCCGTTATCTTTCCGCTGATTTCGCCGTGCAATTCTTCGCTTATAGGTGTCGTTGCGGGAAGACGATCGCGTCTCGTTACTGGAACTATCGCGAACGATTCTGTGATAGTGAGATGCTTTGCCGCCGCAAGGCCTCAGCTAATGACGAGGCCGTCTAGAGCGCAACCTCTTACCCAGCCTGTCGTACCGAGGCGTTACGGTCGAATTGACGCGACTCGCGGCGCGGAAGGCGGGAGCGGCGACCACGAACGACCGTTGGACGAGTCGGCTGGCGCTACAGCCGCGGACGATGCTTCCGAGAAAGGCCCGCGTGCCACTGGCGAGGACGACTCTAACGGGGCTGCTGCTAATAGCGAGGGTGGTTCAATCGGGGACGCGGCGCGGCGGATCTGGGACGTGAGCGGGCGCGATCTGGTGCAGGTGGCGCTGGAGGCGAGCCGCGCGACGGACGGCCCGCGATTCCTGGCGCCGTGCGGCGTGCGACGCGAGCTGCCGCTGCTCGTGTACCTGCCCGGGCTGGACGGCACGGTGAGAGGTGGTGGTGTATGGATACGGCACGAGTTGCAGGGCATAGGTTGAGAGTTTATATTGTTCGATGCAAGCTGCCTCTGCTCGTGTACCTGCCTGGGCTGGACGGCACGGTGAGAGGTGGTGGTGTATGGATACGGCACGGGTTGCAGGGCATAGGTTGAGAGTTTATATTGTTCGATGCAAGCTGCCTCTGCTCGTGTACCTGCCTGGGCTGGACGGCACGGTGAGCGGTGGTGGTGTAGGGGTGGGCGCGGGTTGAGGGGCTTGGGCTTAGGGTTTTACGTTGTGTGATGCAAGCTGGCGCTGCTCCACACATTGTACCCCCCAAGTTCCCACATTCAGAAACCCCCTCTTCCACCACCCCCTCCCCCACCCGTTTCTCCTTTCCTCTCCTACCCACCCACCTCCCAGGGCGTGTTCCTGGAGCGGCATCTGGAAGGCTTAAAGCCATGCTACGATGTTGCTCTGCCTCTGCATTCCCGCCTCTGACACCTCCTCCTACGCCCAGCTCGCGCAGCTGTACGTGCGCTCAGTCACTGGTTGTAGCATGCTGTAGCGGAGTTGCCTTGTATGCCTGGAGGGCTTAAAGCCGTGCTAGTGCTACCGCATCCCCGCCTCTAACACCTCATCCTATGTCCAGCTCGCCCAGCTGTACGTGTTCTCACTGGTTGACCTTTGAGTCGACTCATCAGTCATCTCATGCTGTGATGTGCGCTGCCTCTGTCTGCATCCCCGCCCTCTGAGACCTCCTCCTACGCTCAGCTCGCCCAGCTGTACGTGCTCTCACTGCTTGTTTGATGTGCCTGCAGCTGCGGCCTTGCTTGTTACAGCTGCAGCGGCGTTGAGTGATTTAAGTGTAGTGTCACTGCTTCATGAAGCTGCAGGGTGCTGTACTCTCTCTTCCCTACACTCCCGAATTCCTCTGTTCGTAGGTGTCACTGCATTTATCTGCCTCCCTATACTCCCAATCCCCTCCCTTCCCTCCTCGCCTTGGTATTGCAGGGCGGCACATCTCATTCAACAAATGGACTGTGGCAGTTATGAGGTCTGCCACTCTTCAATACAGATCACTTATGGGTTGCACTGTGGGTTGCATGACTGCCACTGTGGGTTGCATTGCAGCTCACTGCTGCAAGCGTCCTCAAGTGAAGGGCCAGCTCCTGTCTTCCCCACCCTCCCCCTCCCCTCCCTCTCGCCCTTCCTCTCGCCCTCCCTCTCGCCCTCTCTCTCGCCCTCCCTCTCGCCCTCCCTCTCGCCCTCCCGCTCTCCCCCCATCCTTCTCTTTACACTGCAGAGTGGCGGGTCTCATTCAAAAAGAGCAGGACTTGCGAACGGCCAGCGCACGCCTGCTGCAAGCGTCCTTGGGTGCGAGAGGCATGGGATACGCCTCTGATGAGGAGGGGATGCCTGGAGGGACACGCACACCTGCAGCAGCAGAAGCAGGAACCACTGCACTAGAAGAAGCAGCAGCAGCGGTGACGGTGGTGGCGGAGTCGTTTGGAGAGGGGGTGGCGCTCTCTGTTGCTGCCACCCATGCTAATCTGCTTGCCCACCTTGTCATCTGCAACAGGTGGGTGCCTGCATGTTTCTGCGCGCGCGCGCGCGCGTGTGTGTGTGTGTGTGTGTGTGTGTGTGTGTGTGTGCGTGTGTGTGTGCGTGTGAGTGCGAGTGTGTGTGTGTGCGCGCGCGCGCGCGCGTGCGTGCGTGTGTGTGTGTGTGTGTGTGTGTGTGTGTGTGTGTGTGTGTGTGTGTGTGTGTGTGTGTGTGTTTGCACGTGCATGCGCGCACCTGTGCGTCTGCTAAATTCATATTTGCATCTCCTCTCACATCCCCCCCTTTCCCCACTCCCACCATACAGTGCGAGTGGCTTTCGCAGGCAGCCAGCCCTGCAGCTCGGAGCCTTGCTGGTGAGCCAAACCCTTCGCTTCCCTCAATCCCTCCCTACTCCCGCCTCTCCCTTGATACCCGCTGGCGTTTTTTCACAGCAGCACATGCCCTAGCACCTCTCACACAGCAGCACACCCCAATCGTCTTCATGTGCCTAGGGCTCTTCTGAACCCTCTTTTCCCCTGCTTGATTCTGATTTCTCCTCTTTTATACCTATCCTCTCGCACCTCTCCTCTCCCACCTCCTCCTCTCTTCCATCTCTACTCACTCATCCCCACCCCCTTATCCCCACCCCCATCCCCACCCCCTTATCCCCACCCCCTTATCCCCACCCCCATCCCCACCATTTGCACTGGACGTGCCCTTGTTGGCGCAGCTCTCCTCCTTGGCCCTCGCGCCTCTCCTCTCCGACTGGGACAGTCTCGGAGGGAGAGCAAGGACACGCATCGCTACCCGCCCTGACCCCCATTCACCGTCTCCTTGCCTTGTCCCCATCGCCATGCCAGGCGCCCTTTGCACCTGACGTTCCCTTCCTAGCGCAGCTCTCCTCCTTGGCCCTCGCGCCTCTCCTCTCCGACTGGGACAGCCTGGGGGAGAGGGAGAGGGCCCTCATCACCCCGCCCTTCAGGTGCTTTTTTGTGCCTTCTTATACCCCTTCACCCCGTCACCATTTCATCCCTTCACCCGCGACCCTTGACCCCTTGATTCCTTTCCCCTTTCTCAGAATTCTCAAAAAACATACCCTTGACCCTGTGACCCTTGACCCCGTGACCCTTGACCCCTTGACCCTTGACCCCGCGACCCTTGACCCCTTGACCGTTGACCCCGTGACCCTTGACCCCTTGATCCCTTTTCCCTTTCACCCCATCCCCTCTTCCCCTCCTGCCTGCACCTGCTCCATCTTCCACCCCCTCCCCACCAGCACAACCGTGCTTCCAGCAGCAACAGTGGCGCGCCGCGTTGCCATGATGGCTGCGCTACAGCCGTCCGATGCCCTGCTACAGACCATCACAGCCAGCACTCTGCTCATTGCCAGGTATGCTACAGCTACAGTGCTGCCCAGTGCTGTCCAATGCTGCGCTACAGCCGTCCGACGCCATGCTACAATCCATGACAGCCAGCACCCTGCTCATCGCCAGGTGGGCGCCTAGAGACTCCGCTACAGCTGGTGAATACAGCGCTACAGCCGTCGGATGCCATGCTGCTGCTGCATTCCATCACAGCCAGCACCCTGCTCATCGCCAGGTAAGCACTAAATGCATCGGCTGTCCGCCCAATGCACCGCTACAGCCGTCCGACGCCCTGCTACAGAGTCTGTTTTTGAGTCTGCTTCAAAAGCAGACTGCCCGTCGCCACGCTACAGTCCATCACAGCCAGCACTCTGATCATCGCCGGGTTGGCCCATAAAGGCAATGCCTTTATGCTATGCTATACCATCACATGCCATGCTACAGTCCACAACCAGCAGTTGCCATGTCACCTGGACCCATCTTGACTCAACTTGACCTGTCTGCACCCACCCATTCTGTGTGTTCGGTGGCAGTTGGGTGGGTGATACCGTCAAGGAGGGGAGGACACTTACATGTATTAGTCTATTAGATGATATGAAACAGATTCACATATCAACTGATACATCTAGAAGGCTCGAATTCCCAGAACCTGGTCCAGTCCAGTCCAGCTGGTTACTTTGGCTCTATTCCCAGAACTTGTCTGGACTGGACCCATCTTCACCCAACTGGACCCATCTTCACCCAACTGGACCCATCTTCACCCACCCATTGCATGTGTGCAGTGGGGAGGATTGGTTGATACCATCAGTGGAGGAGGCATATGGGCTGGCCACGTGCATCCCATCATGCTGTCTGAGTCAACCAGTGAATGAACCTGAAACTCTTTTCTTGACGCTTCTTGGCCCATCTTTACCCACCCTCTGCATTCCGTGCATGCAGTGGGGAGGACCGGCTGATACCATCAGTGGAGGAGGCATACGGGCTGGCCACGTGCATCCCATCGTGCCGCATCAAGATTCTGCCCTTCTCCGGCCACACTGCCCTGCTAGAGGTGAGTTTCGAGACATTTTGAAGAAGTGTGGTTTGTTGCTGCCTTCCCTCTGGTTCCTAACGTAACACATGTACAAACCAAGTGCTCTCGCCACTGTTTCCTCTTCAACCCCCTGCCCCGTTCCTCCCTTCCCCCCTCCCCCCTCTTCCTCCCCCACCCCTTCCATCATGCAGGCGTTTCTCTGCAGGACATTTTAGAGGAGAGTGGCGTGCTGCTGCCCTTGCTGCCTTTCCTCTCGTGCCCCACCGCCTCCTCATACACGCCTATGACCACATCCCGTGCAACCCAACCCCTGTTCTCCCCCTCCCCTCCCCCATCAGTCCGGCGTTTCTCTGCGGGACATTCTGGAGGAGAGTGGCGTGCTGCTGCCCTCTGCTGCCTTCCCTCTCGACCCTGTGCCTCCCTCTGACGATGACGAGCCTGCTTATAACGAGGACGAGAAAGCTGCCAATAGCGAGGGTGATAAGTCTGTTTATAGCGAGGATAGACCAGCAGTGCGTGCTCAAGAGAGCAGCAGTGCAGCTGGCAGCAGCACCAGCAGCAGTGCTTCTTCGTATGCATTTGAAGCTGGAGCAAGCAGTGCACGCCGAACTGTGTCTAGCACTGAAAGTTCAGGTGAAAGTTCAGTTGAAAGTTCAGGAGGAGTGGAGGGGGCAGGGTACAGCAGTAGTGAGGAGGGCGAGTTCAGCATAGAGGGGAAGGACTGGGATGATGCTGACGTGGCTGCTGTGCTTGGATTGGCCAGCTCTGCTGCCACGGATGCTGGACCAATTACAGGTTCCGATGCTGATGCTGCTGCGTTCGCCTCCAATGATGTGTCTGAAATGTCAAGAAATGCAAAAACCGAAACTGAGGAAATTCGTAAAGAACCTGAACTTGAGAGAGTTGCTGCTGCTGCTGTGCCTGATGCTGCTTTCCTCCCGAGAGGCCAAGAGGAAGCGATTTTTGACTCTGCTTCTGCTGTGTTGGCAACCGCAACCGCTGTGGCAGCAGAAACAGCAGCGGCAGTGGCAAAGACTACAGCAGCAGCCGCTGTGGCAGCTGCAAGAGTGGTGGCAGCAGAAGCATCAGGGGTACCAGCAGCAGCAGTGGCAGCGGAAACAGTAGCAGCTGTGGCAACAACAGCAGCAGAAGCAGCAGTTGCAGTGGTGGCAGCAGAAACAGCAGGGGTGCCAGTAGTAGCAGAAGTGGCAGAAGCAACAGTAGGAGCAACAGTAGGAGCAGAACCTAAACAGGTGGCAAGTTCAGAGATTGGAGTTGTTGGGATAGAGGCTGAAGGGGAGGAGAGGGGAGACGTGTGGGTGGAAGTTTCGCAGAAGCGGGAGGAGGCGCAGGGAGAGGTGGTGCTTCGGGAATGGTCTCAGGTTCGGGAAGAATGAGAAGGGAGATGTGGGTTTGGCGCAGGTTCGGAAGGTGAAAGGGGTAGAGGGACAGGGAAGTGGAAGAGGAGGAATAATGAGAAGCTTACAGGAGTGGAGCAAGGGGAGGAGGGAGGAGGGAGCGTGGAAGCGCGGTTGGGTAGAGAGTGAGGTGGGTCAGAATGAGAAGGGAGATGTGGGTAGAGGTGCGAGGAAGGGAGGAGGAGGGAAGGAAAGAGAACGGGCAGAATTGCAAGGGCAGCAAGGCCAGCAAGGGCTGCAAGGGAAGCAAGTGGAACAAGCCACGGAAGTCAATCGGGTCAAGAGTGATTTGAGGATGGATGGGTACTATGAGATGATGAAGGGTAAAGGGGACGCGGCATGGGCCGATCGCATGTTCCCCCAAGCTGCCTCCGCCTCTCAGCCTTCTTCCGCTTCTCATGAGTCTTCTAAGTCAGCTTTGGTTTCATCCCAACCCAGCGACACAGCATCTGCGGGCAACGGGCGTGCAGGCAGGGGTGCGGCACTGGGTGTGGAGAGCGGTGCAGAGAGCAGCAGTGGTGGTGGTGCTGGTCCTGCTGCTGCTGGCTGGAGTGATTTTCCTGCTGCTGCTATTCCGAATTCAGCTAATGGAGCTGCTAATAAAGGAGCTGCTAATGAAGGAGCTGCTAATAAAGGAGCTGTTAATAAAGGGTTGGGCGTTGGTGCGAGAGCTGGTGATGATGCCACTGCTGCTGCCACTGCTGCTGCTGATTCATTAACAGAGAAAGCATCGCGACAGAGGGGCGTGGGAGGTGTGGTGATGGAAGCAACGGTTGGACAGAAGGAGGAGAAGGAGCAAGGGGGTGAAAGAAAAGGGGAAGGGAAAAGGGAGAGGAAAGGGGAAGCGAAAGGGGAAGGGAAAGGAGAAACGAAAGGGGATGGTGGGAGGTACATGGGGTCAGTGGAGGGGCGGGCGACGGCAGCGGAGGTGGGGCGGGCGTTGGAGGGTATGCTGGATGACATGCCGCAGTACCGCCTCTGGAACTGGGTGGCACGGCCGCTCTATGTTGGTATGTGGGTGGGTGGGGGCATGTGTGGGAGATGGTCATGGTTGTGTGGTGTGGGAGATGGTCATGGTTGTGTGGTGTGGGAGATGGTCATGGTTGTGTGGTGTGGGAGATGGTCATGGTTGTGTGGTGTGGGAGATGGTCACGGTTGTGTGGTGTGGGAGATGGTCATGGTTGTGTGGTGTGGGAGATGGTCATGGTTGTGTGGTGTGGGAGATGGTCATGGTTGTGTGGTGTGGGAGATGGTCATGGTTGTGTGGTGTGGGAGATGGTCATGGTTGTGTGGTGTGGGAGATGGTCATGGTTGTGTGGTGTGGGAGATGGTCATGGTTGTGTGGTGTGGGAGATGGTCATGGTTGTGTGGTGTGGGAGATGGTCACGGTTGTGTGGTGTGGGAGATGGTCATGGTTGTGTGGTGTGGGAGATGGTCATGGTTGTGTGGGCTACGTGGTGAGGGCAGGGCTGGAGAGGGCGCAATGGGGGACGGGTGTGCCGTCTTCTCCAACCCGGCACACGTGTGCAACGAGGGCAGACGGCTGTTTGCCACGCCATGCCATGGCTCATTTCATCTCCAATCCTCCATTCCCCCACACCCCACACCCCACACCCGACATGATGGCAGGGTTGGAGAAGATTCTGCGCAACGAGGGCAAGCTGCTATTTGTGGGCAACCATACCATCTTTGGCATCTATGACATGTGCGTGGGGTTAAGGGGGGTTGGAAGGAATAGGGGCAGACGAGGGGAAGGGGAAATGGAGGGGGGAAGGTTACCGGTGTGGTGTTCCAACGAGGGCAAGCTACTATTGGTGGGCAACCATACCATCTTTGGTATTCTTGTTGCAACTGGGTCAGCGTTACGGGGCTGACCGTGGACACGGACCACCGACCAAAAAGGTGCCATAGGATTTGTACTATGCGTAACATTAGTCTCCGCAATAGTTGTCTCCCCTTCTCTCTGCTGCCCCCCGTCTCCCTGCACTTGTTCTCTCTGCTGCTCCCTGTCTTCCTGCACTTGTTCTCTATGCTGCTCCCCTTCCGCCACCTCGGAACCTCCATTAGCCCTCTGAGTGTGAACGGTGCTTGGCTGAACATCAAATTCTTGCATGGGTAAAGTACCCACACTTGAGATGATGTGACCATGCGGGCCTTCGTGTTGCACCTGAGCATCTCCCATGGTAAGTATCTCATCCATCGCAGCATCTCCAATTCTACTGGCTATATCATGTGCGTTGAGAGGGGGAAGGGTGGTGGGGGGAAGAATGGCAGACGAGGGGAAGGGGCAAAGGAAGGGAAAAGCTGCAGTGTTCCAACGAATTCAAGCTACTATTTGTGGGCAACCATACCATCTTCGGCATCTATGACATGTGCGTTGGGGGGGGGGGTTGGGGAGGGGGGGGTTGAGATGGGAGGGAGGCCCGGAGGGTGGTCACTTGGAAGTGAGTCTGGTCGGAAAGGGCTGTGCGTCCCAGCCGTTCTGAAAGGGCAGGCTGCTGTTTGTGGGCAACCATACCATCTTCGGCATCTATGACATGTGCGTGCAGTGGAGGAGTGGGAGGGGTGGAGGGAGAGGTGGGAGGGTGGCGGGAGTGGAAAGGGGAGGGAGTGCGAGGAGGAGAATCACAGTGAGAGTCTGAAAGAGTCACACTTGAAGGAGCCTGAAAGCCCCGACCCGCCAGGAGAGCAGGCTGCTGTTGCTGTTGCAGGCTGCTGTTTTCTTTTGTTTTATTCGACTTAAAAATGGGCAACCATGCTATTGCTGGTATCTATGACATGTGCGTGCGGGGGAGAGAGAGGGAGGAGGAAAAGGCGGGGAAGGGTGGAAGGAGATGGGATGATGAGAGCCGCTTTGGAAGGGGTGGGCACTCCGACTCAGCCGTGTTGGGAGGGCACGCACTCACTTCTTTCACCCCCTTCCCTTCCCTCACAGGCCACTCATGATCCAAGACATCCACATGCGCACGGGGGTGACTCTCAGAGGGCAATGTTGAAATCACCTTTGAAATTTCTCAAAAGTGTCGCAGCCCATGCATCCATCACACCGTCTCCACCCATCCCTCGCCTCACCCCCTCTCGCAGGCCGCTCCTGATCCGAGACATCCACATGCGCACGGGGGTCACTCTCAGAGGGCTGGGCGCGCCTACGCACTGGCAGGGGCCGTTTGCTGACCAGTTCACCAAATATGGCGCTGTGCGGGTGAGATGGGGGGGTGGGAATGGGGGTGGTGATTCTGATGGCACTGATGCTGTCCCGGAGAGTGGCATGGAGGTTGGAGGGGAACTGAAAGAACGAGAAGTACAAGCTGTTTTGGTGCGACACAACTTGACATACCCTCCTCTCTCCCCTCATACATCAGGTGTCCCCCCGGGCATGCTATCAACTGCTGAGGGAGGGCGAGAACTTGCTGCTGTACCCGGGAGGAGGCAGGGAGGTGGGGAAGCGGAAGAACGAGAAGTACAAGCTGTTTTGGCGCGACACAACAGACTTTGTGCGCATTGCCGTGCGCTGTGGCGCCACCATTGTTCCATTCTCGACTATTGGAGTGGAGGATGCATTTGATGTTCTCATGGACCCCGAGTGAGTGGCTGGCGTGCCCACCTGTTGCATGATGGGAATCACTACAAGCTGTTCTGGTGGGATACCACCGACTTTGTGCGCATCGCCGTGCGCTGTGGCGCGACAATTGTGCCGTTTTCCATGATCGGGGTGGAGGACGCTTTTGATGTTCTCATGGACCCCGAGTGAGTGTGACTTAGGGACTGAGTGAGGGAGTGGCCTGCAGGTTAGCCTTTGAGCGAGTTGGGACTGCGTGAGTGAGTGGCTTGCATGCGTACCTGTTGCATGGCGGGAATTAGTACAAGCTGTTCTGGCGAGACACGACAGACTTTGTGCGCCTCGCTGTGCGCTGTGGCGCCACCATTGTGCCGTTTTCTACCATTGGAGTGGAGGACGCTTTTGATGTGCTCATGGACCCCGAGTGAGTGGACTGAGGGGCTTGGGAAACATCACTTTGGGTGTGCGAGGGGCGAGAAGTACAAGCTGTTCTGGCGAGACACGACCGATTTGGTGCGCATTGCTGTGCGCTGTGGCGCCACCGTTGTGCCGTTCTCTACTATTGAAGTGGAGGACGCTTTTGATGTTCTCGTGGACCCCGAGTGAGTGTGGGGGAGGGAGTGAGTGTGGGGGAGGGAGTGGGAATGAGGGAGGACTGAGTGGTCAATTTCAGTTTGCCTGAGCGAGCCTTGCCGTGCGCTGTGGTGCGCTGTGCGATTTCTGAGAATTCTCTACTACCATTGTTCCGTCGATGATCTCCTCCCTTCCTACTCCTCCCTCCCCTCTTGCCCATTCTTCTCCTGTGCCCCTTACCCCACAGGGAGATCATGAGTTCTCCAATCAGCCCCTGGCTGAAGCCAGCCCTGCAAGCCACGGGCATGCAGTCGCCTCCCTTCCCCCTCGCCTCCAACGTCGGCCTTCTGGAACTCCTCCTTTTTACCTCCTTTTTACCTCCTTTTTACCTCCTTTTTACCTCCTTCTGGAACTCCTCCTTTTTACCTCCTTTTTACCTCCTTTTTACCTCTTCTGGAACTCCTCCTTTTTACCCCCTTTTTACCTCCTTTTTACCTCCTTTTTACCTCCTTTTTACCTCCCTACCCCAACTCCTCCTTTTTACCTCCTTTTTACCTCCTTCTGGAACTCCTCCTTTTTACCTCCTTTTTACCTCCCTACTCCAACTCCTCCTTTTTACCTCCTTTTTACCTCCTTTTTACCTCCTTCTGGAACTCCTCCTTTTTACCTCCTTTTTACCTCCCTACTCCAACTCCTCCTTTTTACCTCCTTTTTACCTCCTTCTGGAACTCCTCCTTTTTACCTCCTTTTTACCTCCCTACTCCAACTCCTCCTTTTTACCTCCTTTTTACCTCCTTTTTACCTCCTTCTGGAACTCCTCCTTTTTACCTCCTTTTTACCTCCCTACTCCAACTCCTCCTTTTTACCTCCTTTTTACCTCCTTCTGGAACTCCTCCTTTTTACCTCCTTTTTACCTCCCTACTCCAACTCCTCCTTTTTACCTCCTTTTTACCTCCTTCTTACCTCCCTACTCCAACTCCTCCTTTTTACCCCTCCCCATTCCTTGTAACCTCCCATGCCCTTAAACCCACAGGGAGATCATGTCGTCCCCCATCGGTCCCTGGTTGAAGCCAGCACTGCAGGCCACTGGCATGCAGTCGCCGCACTTCCCCCTCACCTCCAATGCTGGCCTGCTCACAACCCCCTTATGGTCCCCTTCTTCCCTGCCCCTGACCTCACAGGGAGATCATGTCCTCCCCAATCGGCCCCTGGTTGAAGCTAGCACTGCAGGCCACAGGCATGCACACAGCACCCTTCCCCCTCGCCTCCAATCCCAGCCTGCTGAAAATTCCCTTTACTACCCCTCTCCACGCCTTCCCACCTCCCATCTCACCCAACAGGGAAATCATGAATTCTCCCATCGGCCCCTGGTTGAAGCCAGCACTGCAGGCCACGGGAATGCAGTCGCCCCCCTTCCCCCTCGCCTCCAATGCTGGTCTGCTGCCGCGCCCCCAACGCCTCTACTTCCTTTTCAGCGACCCCATCCGCACTGACGGCCTGGATCCCTCGATCATACGCAACAAAGAAGAGTGCAACAGGATATACCAGGTGGGTTGCCCTGGTGTGTACTTGAAAAAAGAGAGAAATGTGGCCATGTGCGCTGCCTGCTGCCTCTCTAGCCCCCAGCGCCTCTACTTCCTCTTCTCCGACCCCTTCTGCACTGGTGGCCTTGATCCGAGCATCACACGTGACCCCATCCCCATCTTCTCTTCTCTGATCCCACCACCCTATCAACAGACGGTGCGGGGGAGAGTGGAGGGCGGCATAGAGCAGGTCAAGGAGATTCGCTGGGCAGACCCACCTGCCATCGCACGTGGTTTGTTTCTCACGACCCCTGCGATTTCTTCCACCACTGCTGCTGTATCACCCCACCACTGTTGTCACCACACCATCCCAACAGATGGTGCGGGGCAGAGTGGAAGGAGGCATAGAGCAGCTCAAGGAGATGCGCCGGGCAGACCCCCTGAGAGAAACGCTTCCCAGAATAGCGGTGAGGGGAGGGTGTTCCGGTCTTGTTGTGTGGTGAGGGGAAGGTTTGGGGGTGTGTTTTGCAATTCGAAACTCGTTGTGGTAAGGCTCAAGGGGTTTTTGAGACTACTGAGGGATGGAGGCTGGGGGATGGGGTTCCAGGTTCGGTGTTGGAAGACTGTTGGGGATGGGGGCTGAGTGGGTGGCAAGTAGCGCCTGAAGTGCCAATTGTGAAAAGAGGTCGTTTCTTTCATCCCGTAATCCCCATTCTTTGGGTTTGTGGTTCCAGGTCAACCTTCTGGATGGCTGGGATGGCACCTAAATACTGAAGGTCCTATCGACAGGATTTTTGTAGATACCCATTCACATACTGTACCCCAAATAGCGGATGATGCAAGACGTTGAATATCTATGCACTACATGTTTTTGATGAAGATGCCCACCACATTGTTTTCATTAGCTAAGTAGGTCGGACGTTGGATGTGTCTAGAGAATTGTTGTTATGTTTCTGTGCTATATCACATTTCGCTTTTCAGGTACTGTAGAGGACGTCTGACGAGCTTCTTACTGTCGGAGTCGGTTCGAGTTTCGTGTCGTCAATCCACCCAAAGCGCGTGGGAGGGAATTTCCGTTCCGCTGATTCGTGATTGTGAAGCGCTCCGGCTGGTTGGACAGCACTGTTGTCAGTTGACCACAACCGAGCCGAACCGATGTGTGCAATTTAGGCGTCTCGGCTCGACTCGCGTCGCGACATTATCAGCAGGTACTAGATCTCCCAGTCTTACAAAGATAACCATATACAAAATCGTTACGTCGGTGAACGGTACATGTTAAGTGCGAAGTTGCTGTTAGAGAAAGCTACCACACTCCTCTGTTCATTTTGGAAGGGCCGAAGTCCCAAACAACACATTCCCAGTCTAAAAGTAGGCGTTGCCAGCTAGAATTATCCCAGACGTTTTGCTGAAAATACTCAAAGTCCTGTCCTGAAAATCAGTCATGTCATAAATGCCTGACTCATTTAAAACCAGACCCTATATTCTGTGCGCTTTCCCACGCCAGACCATAAATTTCCTAAATTTCTCGACGGGAAAGATACAGGTTCGACGGCGTCCCTCCCACGCCCACCTTCCCTCCCTCGAATTGCCAGTTCCATTCCCTCGCCTGTTGCTGGGTGATGTGACGAGCTAAGGTTCCATACGCCAGCGAATTAGAGGAAGGTTGGGTCGGCGACTCTTCATTTTGGGCGAGGGATTCTTCTCTGTTCAGTAGTCGGGCACATCGGAGCTAGTCTGGTCCCGCGCAACTTGGGCCAGCTAGCTAGCCCCTCAACGGACAGCTGGGCAGAACAGTCGTGACTAGTAACCAGCGTTGGACAGCTGGGTGTTTTTTATCGAAGACTCGAGTCTCCGTTTGACGACAACACTGTGTCTCGAGCCACACGTGGCAATTCGTGTAGCTTATGTCGATGTCGATTAGCGGCTCTGTCAACTGAGATGCTCTGATCGCCGCTAATCGCTCTAAGAAGGCTTTTGAAGCGCCTCATAGTCAATTCTAGGAGGGCAAGGCAAGACAAGACAATCCTCATGGTCTCTCGTAGGACTCTGAAAGATAATGCTTCGTACATCTTACTGACTTCTCTGAAGTCAGCTCGTCACTGATTCGCTTTTGAGAATTCTTGAAAGGGACAGTCTCTCTGAGAACATTCCGTTTTCAGAATTTTTGACAGTCTGGTCTCTCTTCGAGAGCAGATCGCGACGCTCGAGGCGCGGAATTATTGCGCTGCAGGTAGGATAATCCTGTTGAGAACTGTCAAATACCCTGCAGTAACAGTAGCCGGATATTTCAAGGGTGTTTTTTGCGATTGCGACCTGCCGTGAGTCTGGAAGTCGCGACCATCTAACCGCGTCAGCATGACCAGTGAGCAAGATCGAGTCGACGAGGAGAATGGCGGAAGCCGGCTGGGCACCGAAGCTCCAGGCGAAGCGAGAAACCTTCCACGGTGGTTCCCCAACCGAGGCGGCAGCTGGAGCTTCGGATGGAAGAAAATCCAAATCGCCGACAGCAGTGCGGCGACGGATGCGACGCCGGATGCGACAGCAGCGAGCGCGTCGCCCACCGAGACCACTGGACCCGCAGCGTTGCAAGAATTCGGCGACTATTCGAAAGGCAGTGGCGACGGAGGAGGAGAAGGAGAAGCGCGGGCGTCTGCGGCGCGCGTGTGGCGGTGGGTGTGGTCGCGGCGCGACATACTGCTGATGAGCACGGCATTCCTCTTCTTCTTCGTGGCGTTCAACGCGCTGCAGAACGTCGCGACGAGCATCCACGGCGCGAGCAACATCGGCGCGCTCTCCATGGGCGTGCTCTACGCCGTCATCGTCGTCTCCGCGCCGCTCGCGCCCTTCCCCATCCGCTTCTGGCGCGCGCGCGCCGCCATCCTCGTCGCGCAGACGGGGTTCTGGGCTTTTATCGGGTCCAACGCGTTAACTCTAGAGTGCGTTCTCCCTCCCTCCCTCTCCCTCCCTCCCTCCCTCCCTCCCTCCCTCCCTCCCTCCCTCCCTCCCTCTCTCTCTGTCTCCCTTGTCCAACCTTAAACCTCGAAACCCGGAACACCATTGTGGATCGTTCAATGTGTTTCGTTCAGTTTGCGTCAATGAAGGTGGGTCTGAGTTGGGACGGATTCACAAAACGATTGGCAAAAAGCTTATAGGGAGGATGCTCTTGTTGATCTTTAAGTCCGTCTATCCGTCAAGGTCCCAGACGGGTCGTCCATACAACACGTTCAAGAGAGTCGATTCAACACGTTCTCATGTCCCTGGTACCCCGCGCCCCTTTCCCCCTCCATCGCGTGCACGTGGCATTTGACACGTGGCACCCGGCACCTGGCAGGTGGCTGCTTCTGCTCGCGTCGTGCTACCTCGGAGTCTGCTGGTCCGTCGTCTGGGTGGCTCAGGTCCGCGTGTGTGTGTGTGTGTGTGTGTGTGTGTGTGTGTGTGTGTGTGTGTGTGTGTGTGTGTGTGTGTGTGTGTGTGTGTGTGTGTGTGTGTGTGTGTGTGTGTGCGAGCGCGGCACGCGCGTTTGGGTGTGTTTGTGTGTGCTTAGGGGCTGTGCTCTTTTCCTTTTCACATAATCTCCTCTTCTCATAAGCTCAACACCTGAATGGCGTGAATGCAATTCTCTCAAAATTTCCGGCCCCTGCTTTCACAGATCTCTCCTGGGGCCTTCAGCCACTCATCCCCTCTGCATGCATCCTCGTTTTCGCTACGCAGGGAGTGTACCTCGTTGCTGCTGCAGGCGTCTACAGTAAGCGTTACAACAAGCCTATGGATGCCGTGGTTACCGAATTCAGCGCCCTTTTTGGCGGAATATTCGCCATCAATCAAATTATCGGGAATGCAATCACTTTCACCGTCTCGCAGCTCTCCTACTCCTCCTCTTCCTCCTCCTCCTCCTCCTCCTCCTCCTACCACCGTCACCATACTCATTATAGTGCTTTGCATCTGCCTCGCTATAGGCTCGGTGCTCTCCTGGCTTCTCCGTGATCTCAAGCCAATAGAAGACTGCCACGTGGACGACGCCACCCTGAATTCCAAGCGCCCAGCCGCCGCGCTTGCTCCCTGTCCGTCGATTTCATCCAGTAGGGCGCTTTCAATTTTCACCGTTGATTGGGAGGAGATGGAAGAGGTGGTGGAGGAGGGGGAGGAGGGAGATGAGGAGGAAGAGGGGGAGGAAGAGGGTGAGAAAGAAAGTGAGGAGGAGGAGAGAGAAGTGGGAGGGAGGGATGGGAAGAAGGTGAGGCAACACGTGGGAGGGATACTGTCAGACGTGAATGAGGAGGGGGAGGAGGGGGAGGAGGGAGAGGAGGGAGAGGAGGAGCAGAGGGAAGAGAACGGGCAGGGTGAGAGGGGGAGTGTGGGTGTAGGAGCTGAAGGGACGACTCACAACACCTCCATTGCCGTTATATCTGTCCGTGCAGACAAACCATCCCAACCGCACTGTACCTCTCAGCAAACCCGCTCCCTCCGCTCAAACCCATCCTTCACCAGCCACTCTTCTCGCATTTCTTCCTCCCGCCGGGCCACCATCCCAAGGCAAACGCCCAGGCCCGGTCCGAACCTGGCCTCTGCCCCTCCGAGCCTGAGCAGGTCATCCTCCAGCCTGACCATCAACTCCAGGTCCGGCCGAACCATAGCTTCGTTCCACGTCCCGTCCCTCTCCCGCACCATGTCCCGAACCTCTGCGCCGTCCCACTCACGGCAGCGTTCCTTGTCTGCTTCTGCGGTGTCCGGGCGACGATCTTTGGCTGGGTCTGTGAGCTCGAGACGGATGGTTGTGACAGTGGGCGGCGGGGGGAGCAAAGAAGGGGAGGGGAGGAACGCGTGGCAGTTGCTGTTTGACCGAAAGCTTCTGCTGCTGATTCCGCTGCTCTTTTACTCAGGACTGCAAGCCGCTTATATCAGGTATGTATCAACATCATATCAACCTTTTCATGCTAGCTTTCTGCAACCTTTTCTGCATTCGTTAGCCTGCTATATCCTCTCCTATCCTCCTCCACCCCATCCCTCCATCCACACCCCAATTGGCAGTGCGGACTTCACGCGCTATGTGGTGCAGCCGCTGCTGGGAGCGCAGTGGATGGGCGGAGCCATGATGGTCTTTGGGCTCGCCGTTGCTGTTGTGAGTTGCCATGGCAGTCACATTTGTTTTCTTTCTTGTTTTGTTGTTCGATCATCAATAATCCTACGACGCTGCTTTGAGGCGCGTCAAACATCTTTGTTGTGATCCTATCGCGCGCAGACCAAGGCTTCGGCCGAAACGCATGTGCCACGCTGCTCAGCTCCCTTAGCCTTTACCCCCAAGAATTCCTCCCTCTCTGTGACGACTTTTGAGTCGACTCAAAAGTCATGTTGGCCGAAACGCATGCGCCACGCAGCTCAGCTCCCTTTGCCTTTGCCCCCAAGGATTCCTCTCCTCTCCGTGAGCACTCCTGCTCAACCGATTGCTCTCTTTCATGCCTCTCTTTTCATTTCTCCCCCCCTTCCCAGTGTTGTTTCTTCGCAGCTCGCTACGCCAAGGGCCTCTCATCGATTCGCCTCATGCTGCTGCTCGGTGCTGCCTCGCAGGCAGCCGTGCTCGTGCTGACATGGGTCTTTCAAGACAGGTGGGTCTTTCAGGAGAGGTGAGGAATCATAGGGGTAAGAGCAGTGTCAACGGCGCATGGCTCGCTGGGTGCCGTCTCACAGACAGCCGTGCTCGTGCTCACATGGGTCTTTCAGGACAGGTGGGTGGTTGGGGGCAGGTAAGCCTGTCAGGGCAGGTGAGTAATTCGGGCAGGAGGGTTGTTGATGGCTTGAACCATGCGATGGCGCGAATGGCTTGAAAGAAATCTCGTGCATACTGTTTCGCTTGTGACTGCAAGTGAGTGGTTTAAACATTTCAATTCGCCCAAAAGCCAAAATCCCCAAAAGCATCGCATGTGCTGGTTCACCCAAAAGCCGCCCCCTCCCCCCCCCTTTTCCCCCCCTTAAAAAAAATATATATATATATATAAAAAAAAGTCATCGCATGTGCTTTACTCCCATAGCAGCAGCCACTGCTTCCTTTCTGGCTTCTCCAGAGGCACACCCACTGTTCCACTCCATCCTCTCCCGTCCACTCCATCCTCTCCCTTCCACTCCATCCTCTCTCTTTCGCTCCATGTTAAATTCACCATCTCACACCTGAGTCGAGCTTTTTGAGAATCCTCAAGAGCATCTCACACCTGCTTCCCTCAGTTGCCACTGGACTTCCTAATTCCCCCCCCTCTCTCCCCCCCCATTCACCAGAGCCATGTCAAAGCCAGCAGAATTCGCGCTGGTGTTCGGCTGTGCGCTGCTGTGGGGAATCGGCGCCACTGCCTTCCAATCACAGATCACAGCGCTCCTGCCATTGGTCTTCCCCGCTGACGTGGTAAGCTGCCATTGGTCTTCCCTCATGCCCTTGCTCTAACTCATTTCCCCCACAATCTCCCCACCTCAACGCCTTATTCCCTCACAGCATGCAGCATGCGTGAATTGGCTTGTGTGGCGCAGCACTGCCTGATACGCCTACTTCCTCTCCAGCCCTCACTCTCTCTCACCCCCTCCCACCCTCTTCCCCGACCCCCCTTAAACCCTCCCAGGACGCAGCGTACGCGCATTGGATCTCATGGAGCAGTGCGGCCTGCTCCGCCTACTTCCTCTCAAGCCCACACATCGCCACAGCGATCAAGAACAGCCTTCTCCTCGCTTTCTGCCTCCTCTCCGTCGTCCTCGCCGCCATTGCTGTCAGAATTAGACCAACAGGAGTGGCGAAGTCATGCGAAGCGGTGTGAGGAGTGAAGTTAAGGAGTGTGAAGGGGTGTGTGAGGAAGGCAGGGTGAGAGGAGACAGCAGGGGGTGTGGAGCAGTGCGGCCTGCTCCGCCTACTTCCTCTCAAGCCCATACATCGCCACGCCCATCAAGAACTCCCTCCTCCTCGCATTCTGCCTCCTCTCCGTTGCCCTCGCTGCCATCGCCGTCAGAATCAGATGACCAGATTTCTGAGGCGCCTCAAAAAGCCTGCTCCGCCTACTTCCTCTCAAGCCCATACATCGCCACGCCCATCAAGAACTCCCTCCTCCTCACCTTCTGCCTCCTCTCCGTCGTCCTCGCCGCCATTGCCATCAGAATTAGATAACCAGAGCTGACACCAAACCTACCTTTCATGCCCGTGGCCCCGTGGCCTTTGTATGACCCGACAGGCCGAAGCTTGCTCCTTTACCTGTGAATTTTAAACGGCCAAAGCTGTTAGAATCTGGTGTATGGGCTAGGGTTGACCCTGGCGTTATGCTTGGTCCAAATGAAGTACACAGACAAGAAACCGAATGTGAGGAAAAGAATTACCGGTAGGCATTCATCTACCAACCGATCTTGCATACACCATAACACATGAGTTTAGTCTGAAAAGATTCCTTGAACAGCTCGTACAGAGAAATGAGTTGCTAGTCTTTGCATCGTGTACGTGGTAAGGGAACTGTCAATGGCGAGGCCAAGTGCCTTGCCTCATAAAACCTAGCAATTATGGTAACTCCAATCATCAGGGACTCGTTAGGGGTTGGGGAAAATGCACTACACCTGGCCCTTTCAAGTGAGGAAAAGCTATGCTAAGTCGACAGATGTCGCATGTTACATAGAGATGGGTCCGGTGCGGTTGACCTGCTCCTATACAGAGGATACTCCGCTTTTCTCGAACCCCTTCCCAGAAGTAGCACCACTACAGTCACATCAGAACGGCCCCCTCTTGTAACTCAGCTGCCTCTGCATTTTCACCTCGGTGTTATCCATCGTTCTACTCCTCGACCACCCACCATCCTTCCCCTCCCTCTCCTTCTCCCTCTCTCTATCCCTCCCCTTTTCCTTCTCCTTCTCCTTCTCCTTCCCTCCCTTACCCTCTTTCGAATCCCTCCCAAACAGAGCAGCTTTAAGTGAAAAGCTTGTACTCTTGCTCACCTCTCTCCCCCCGCTCCCACCCTTCCCCAGGTCTCTACTCGACGTGCTCTTAGTCACCTCTATCCTCCTAGTCGCTCCCGATGCAACCCCCTGCACCCTCTCCCCTCGCTCCCCTCGCTCCCTCGCCTCCTTGCTGCCTGTCCTCCCCTGCCCAAATCCTCCTCCTCTGTCCGCGCTCCTCTTATCCCCCTTTTCACCCGACTTCCCCTCTCCTCTATCCATCGTGCGCGTGCGTACAAACCCACTATCACCACCACCACCACCGCCACCCGAACCCCTGGGGGTCTTGGGGTTGTATTCCCTGGGCGTTTTAGGAACCAACTCTCCTCCTCCTCCCCCTGCCCCTGTCCCTCGTGACCTTCTCTCCCTCCCCCCTCCTCCCGATCCCTGCATCCCACCATACGAATCCTCAAACTCCTCAAAACGCTCCCTCCTTCCACTCCCACCACTCCCTCCCTCCACTCCCCACCCTCCTCCTCCTCCCCCTCCTCCCGACCCTCCTCCTCCCCCTCCTCCCAACCATCCTCCTCCTCCCCCCTCCTCCCAACCATCCTCCTCCTCCCCCTCCTCCCGACCCTCCTCCTCCTCCCCCTCCTCCCGACACTCCTCCTCCTCCCCCTCCTCCCGACCCTCCGCCGCCTCCTCCGCGTCGCGGCGCGCCGGCCGCCATGTCCCAAGCACCACTCTTACTGCGCCCGCGCACACTCTTCGGCCCGCCGCCACCTCCCCCGGCTTCTCCCCTGGGAGTGGTCGGAACAGCGAGTTTCAAACTCAGCTGCCTCTTCAGACCTAGATTGCCGTACCCCTCCTGCCCCTCCCCCTTCCGCCCATCCCTTTCCCCCGCTCGCCCATCTCCCCCTCTCCATTCCCCCCCTCTCCATTCCCCCCCTCTCCCGTCTCCCCTCCCTTCCCCACCTTTCCTAGGGGTACGAGCAACATCACCCCCATACCTCTTCCCCCTCCCTCCCTCCTCCCCATCCTCCATAGGCCTCTGAAGCCTTCCTCTCCTCTCCTCCCCATCCTCTATTGGTCTCTGAAGCCTTCCCCTCCTTTCCTCTCCATCATCCATAGGCCTCTGTATCCGTCCCCTCCTCTCCTCCCGTCCCCCCTGTGCTTGCCCGCTCTTCCCCACAGGCCCTGCTCCTCCCACACCAACCTTTGCCTTCTCACCTCTCCTCTCCTCGCCTCTTCTCATGCTGAGAGATCTCACATTCGTCTGCACATCCCCGTCCTCGATATAAGCTTCCTCGACCTGGTCGTCAAAGGCCACGCGCTGCTTGCGCCTGGTAACTGCCTCTCCTGCTGCTGCTGGTGCCTCCTCCTGCTGGTAACCATACTGCTGGTTTTGCAGCTGCTGCTGCTGCTGATAATTCTGAGGGTACTGTTGATTCGGCTGTTTGGCTCGTCTCGGAGTAACAGGATCGTATCTTGGAGTGACAGGATCGTATCTTGGAGTTACAGGATCATATCTTGGCGTGACAGGATCGAATCTCACCTCACCACCCCCACCATTCGCCCCACCTCTCGCAGAGACTTGTCGCGGCGTGATTGGCTGATGGGTTCCCCCAACCGGTTTCTTCAAGCGTCCAGGGGTAGTTGGAGCACTCCTACTGTTGCTGTGCCGCCGCGGCCGCCGCTGTTGCTGCTGAAACTGCCAGTTGCTGCTGCTGTTGGTAGTTTCCCCTTCCCTCCTGCCCACTCCCATTCCCTCCTCTGCCTCCATTCCCCCCAAGAGAACGACCAGGGGTGATAGGAGGACAATACACCTCCTCCTGCTGCTCATCCTGCTGCCCCTGCTGCCCGAAACCATCTCCGGGCACGGATTGGAACTGGATGGACTTTTTACCTGCCCGACGCGGTGTTACAGCAGGCAAGCTACCCTGCCCGTACGACTGGGCAGGGGGAAAGCTCTCTTTGGGTGGATCAGGGTGTTGGTGGTGGTAGTATGGGCTTGGGTTTTGCTGTGAGTCGTATAGCTGCTGCTGCTGCTGGTAAGGCTGCTGCTGCTGGTAAGACGGTTGCTGCTGAAGCTGCTGCGGGTATGGTTGCTGTTGCGAGTAGGAGGTCTGGTGCTGTTGGTCATACGAGTATGCTTGCTGTTGCTGCTGCTGCTGCTGCTGCTGCTGCAACTGCCGCGGATCAACAGACTGCTGTGAGAAAGAGGTTGAGGGGTCAGATGGCTGGGAGTACGAGTTGAAAGCATCTGCGTACTGCTGCTGCTGCTGCTGCTGCAAGAAAGACTGTTGGGGGTAATGTAGTTGGGAGTCCTGCTGCTGGCCCTGCACATACGGCTGTTGCTGCTGTTGTTGTTGCTGCTGCTGTTGCTGCTGCTGCTGTTGTTGCTGCTGCTGTTGCTGCTGCTGCTGCTGCTGCGGGTAGTGTGGCTGGGGCTGAGGATGGTGGTCATTGTCATACCCATCCCCGTACACATCTCCATACTCGTCCCTCATATCATTCCCATACCCATCCTGCATGTGGTTGCTCCCGTACCCATCCTCGAAACCAGTGTCTTGATCATGGCTGTTGCCATACCCATCCCCATATGCATCTCCAAACCCAGTGCCTGAGCCATGTCTGGTGTGATAGTCATGCTCATGCCACTCGCCACCACTGCCATTGCCTGCCGCTGCTCCCTGCAATCCCACCCCCTGTTGCTGCTGCTGCTGCTGCTGCTGCTGATGCTGCTGGTACCCATATTGACCATACTCCCCACCCTCCCCCCATCCGCCCCCTTCCCCCACACTCCCACCCTCCTCTGCTCGTCCCCCCACCCCTGACTGCTCGCCCCCCCATCCCTCATCATCTGATTGTTGCCCCAACCGCGTCCGCCCCACACCCCCTCCTCCTCCCCCTCCGCGTCCTCTACCCATCCCCCTCCCTGCTCCACCTCTCATTCTACCCCTTGCACTGCCATCGCTCTCCCCTCCGCTCCCCACTCCCTCCCCACCAGAACCACCACCAACCCGTCCTATTCTCTGACCCCTACCCACCTTCTTCCCACCCCCACCACCACCGGCAGCAGCAGCACCACCAGCACCAGCACCAACACCAGCACCAGCACCAGCAGCAGAGGCAGTGGATTGGAGAGTGGCAGGGGCCGTGGCACGGGCAGCAGGGCGGGCGAGGGGAGTGGTGGGCGAGGGAGCAGGCAAATCGGCTCCCCTAGGGTCTTCACCCCAACCATCCCCAGCGGGAACCAAAGCGATGGCTCGTGCGGTTACCGCACCTGCCACCTGCGATTCGTCACACTCTTGCTCCTCCTCTTCTTCCTCCCCATGCCCCCGCTCCTCTTCCTCCACTTCTTCCCCCTCCCCCACGTCCCGATGTGACGAGTAACGACCAGACCCATCCCCATGAGACAGATACCGCCCAGAGCCATCCCCATGAGATAAATAACGACCCGACCCCTCCCCCTGTGATGAATACCGCCCAGACCCCTCTCCATGCGACAAATACTGACCAGAACCGTTCCCATACGCTGGGCCTGTCACATCAAACGACCCGTACATATCGCTCACCTGCCCTGCCCTATGCCTGCCCATCTGCCCTCCCATCTGCCCGCCTACCTCCTTCCCTTCATGCTCCTCCTGCCAAGCTCCCCCACCCTCTCCGATTGCATACCCTTCCCTGCCATACTCTCCCCCTCCATATCCCCTTTCTGCATAGTCCCCCCCTGCATAACCCCCTTCTCTATGCTCCCCTGCTCCATACTCCCCCTCACCATATTCCCCTTCTCCATGCTCCCCCTGCCCATACCCCTCTTCCCCGTAATTCCCGTCTTTATCTCCGTACCCCCTCTCTCCATCTCGACTAAACCGGTATTCTTGACCATACATGTCCGCACCCCCTTTCTCCTCTTCCTCCTCCTCCCTGTCTTCTACCTCTTCCTCCTCCCCCCCCTCCTCCTGTCTCTCCTTCCCCACACCATCTTCATCATCATCCTCATCCTCCTCTCTCTCCCATTCCTTCAGTCGCGAGGCACACTTCTCGGCCCATCGTGCCTTCTCATCCTCCCCTCCCCCTCCCACTGCCCGCATCCCCTCACGCGCTGATACCTGTGCATGCCCCTGTGCCTTTCTCTGTGCGTGTGCCTGTGCATATGCCTCTGTGCCCCTGTAACCACCCTCCTTCTCCTCTTTCTCCTCCTCTTCCTCTTCCTCCTCCTCCTCCTCCTCCTCCTCCTCCTCCTCCTCCTCCTCCTCCTCCTCCTCCTCCTCCTCCTCCTCCTCCTCCTCCTCCTCCTCCTCCTCCTCCTCCTCTCCTCTCCAACCCCCCCAAACCGCCTACCCTCACCTCTCCTATCCACTCCCAACCCCTGCCCGCCATACCCTCCATAAGCATCCTCGTCATGCTCGTTATAGACATCACCACCATACACTCCTCCATTTTCAAAAGAATCGCCTCTTAAACCCCCACTCCTCCTTCCCTCCTCTTCCTCGTCCTCTTCTTCTTCCTCCTCCTCCCCTCCTCCGCCCTTCCCCCTCTCCAAACCTTCCTCTCCCTCCCCCTCTTCCACCACTCCCCATTCCTCCCCTTCCCTACCATCCCCACCGAATAAATCACCATCGTCCCGCCCTTTATAGGCACTCCCCTCACCTCCACTCCCCCCTCTAGACCCTCGCTTCCCAGCCTCACGAACCCCTGTCTGGCCCTCGTTTCTGTCACGGAAACCATAGTCACCCCCACTCGCATCACGCTCGTTTTCATAGTCACCTTCCTGCTGCTCCCAGATCGCATCTCCACCGTCCATATCCCTGCTGAGGCTAGCAGGATCATTCTCAATATTATCACCTTCGTTATATGCACCCTCCACGCATCTCCGCCCTTTCAAACCACTGCCAGTTACCAAGGCAGAAGCAGAAGCGACCGGAGCAGCAGGAGGAGCGGAAACAGCAGCTGGAGCAGCAGCGGGAACAGGGGGAGGAAGAGGAGCAGCAACGGTAGGATCGACTACAGCTGCTGTTTCTAGCCACGCGTTAACCTTTCTCACAGGCCCCCTTAACCACGGATCTAAATGATCTTCCGCTGCTAAGTCCCCACCCTGCTGCTGCTCCTGCTCCTGCTGCTGTTCCTGCCGCTGCTTATGCTCTTCTAACTGCTTCTCGTCCAAGGCCTGTACACCACGTCCTCGTTTGAAGATGCTCTGTCTTAGCGCGTCCGGATGCTGGTTAGGGTAGTTTCCTACCGGTGTGGAAATAGAGTAACCTAACGGAATGTCGTCCCACTCGTTATTAGGCTTCGGAACGTCTTCTATCGGATCCACAACCTCTCCCACAACAGCACAGCTGTCATCCGCGTTACAGACTTCACTGCTAGTAATCACCCGAAGTCTGCCATCCCCGCTATTGAAATCCTCTCCTCCGGATACCCCTACGTCGACTCCCTCCTCCTCCGCTTCTCCGCTCTCCTCGTCTCTTAAATACTCCACGTCGTTATAACTATCCCTGTGCCGTCCCCGTCCCCTCTCCTTGTACCTTTCACCCGGACCGCCTCTTGAAGTCTCCTCGGTGCTTCTGCTTCGTGCCACTGCTTGCTGCGTTGACGCCTTTACTTTGACCGACCTTCCTTTCTGCTGTTTCTGTTGCTGCTGTTGCTGCTGTTGCTGCTGCTGTTGCTGTTGCTGTTGCTGCTGCTGCTGCTGCTGTTGCTGTTGTTGCGTCTGCTCGTGCCACGTGTCATGAGGATGACCGTACAGCTCCTCAGCAGGATTATCATAGCCTGATTGGTCATAAACGTTACCATCGTACGCGTAGTCCTCGTGAAACCCAGCATGCCCATGCTCATGCGAAGCATCCCCCAACGCGTCCCGCGTTCCGTACTCGTTATAGTCAGCTTGCAGATCGTACTCATTGTAACGATCTTCGGACGCGAACGCGTCCATTGCGGCGGGTCCTGCGGCGAGTGATAATGCTGGTTGATGCGGTTTAGAGGTCAAGTGCGCGGGGTGGAATGCTACTTCCATGCGTTCACCTAGACCGTCAGATCCGCTTTAGAATACGGAACGTGACTTGCATTGATGTCAGACTGAAAAGGGACATGCTACCGGATAGAATCAATAATAATGAGGGCTAATCAAAGGTAGTGGAAAAAGTCACGACGGCAGAGAGGGAAATTCAACGTGGAAAGAAGGGGTCTGCGGGTTTTTTGGAACCGCGAATAGATTAATTACCTAATTAGAGTTACCTAGATAAAAAAAAGTCACCTTAGTTGGCACTGGAACTGCTATGGCTTGTTAGTGACGTCACCCATCTGGGGTTGTTGGTGGTGTTTCGTTAGGCTGATGTTGTCCTTTCATCCAGCTGCCCGACAATGCACAGACGAACAAACGTACACCAAGAACCATATGCCCTGTAGGTTCCCTACCAATCAAAGCATCACTTTTAGCGACAACTTCTACCCGCAAATTGTTGTCTCAAACAGTAAGTGCGTCACGAAACGACACAACTTGTGCCCCTTGATGTACGAAATGTGATGACCGCGGTAATGTTGAACCCGCTTGGTGAAAACTCGCTACGGTGATCCCGACAAACTGCTTCCGACAGGAAAATGAGTGAGTGCTAGCCAAGATTATGGAGCTAGAAAAAATTGTGATAACCTAACTTGGCCTTATCGTCAACAAATCCATATTTCAGTCTACTGTGATTTAGTGACACATTCAGCTCCCTTCTGCTGCATCGGCCTCCCTCTTCTCCACCTCCTTTTCCACAACAGTCGCAATAAAATCCTCATCGCCCATTTCCGCAACCGACACGCCCATCGCAACACTCCACTCGATCACTCTCGCCAGAGCCGGCGGATCCACCGCCAACCCCCCCCTCTCGAGCGCCCGAATCGCCGCCGCCACTCGACAAATCCTCTCCCGCTCCTCCACGCCCACAACCGTCTCAGCCGCACCTTTTCCGCCACCACTACCATCAGAACCCCCGCTAGCGCCTTCACCCTGGGTCCCGGGCGAGCCAGATGAGGTGGTGGAGGGAGGTGGTTGTCCAACCCATAACCAGCCGTTGCAGCCAAAGACAAGGAGTGGGCCGGTGGGCGAGAGCATGTGGAAATGTTGCTTGAGACGCCTCACGAGGTACGGGGGGACGTGCACGAGCAGACCTCCTGACAACTGCAGTAGAACAGTGAATCCAGAGATAGAAAACAAAATAGCATGAGGTTCAAGGTATGAAAGGTGACCTAGGGATGCACAAGGTACAGAAAGATGCGCACTACAATCCCTTGTGACAACCACAGTGACAGGACCTTTCAACATCGCTAACACGTATACAGTAATGAACAGAGCTTTCACAAAACCTAGCAACCCCTTGCCAATTTGAGAGGTGAAACAGAGTACCATTCAACATTACCTTGCCGTATTTATCGCTGCGGGTGTGCAGTACGACCGAGCCATCGTGGAACACACTCTGTACCTCTGCCTGTGGGCGTGGGAAGGAAAAGCAAAAGTAGAAAGTGAAGGTGCTATAGTGTGCAACAAGTCAGATACGACTGAGACATCATGGAACACACTCGGTACCTCTGCCTGTGGGCGTGGGAAGGAAAACAAGAATAGAAAGTAGGAGGTTCCGATCATGTGCAACAAGTTGGATGTCATCATCCTGTCCTGTGCTCGACTGGACATCACAACCTGCCAAATGCGCTGGACAGTTTTCACCCACATCACAACCTGCCAAATGCGCTGGACAGTTTTCACCCACATCACAACCTGCCAAATGCCCCACATCACCGTGACGAGGTCCCCCTCCACGTAGATGTTCCTCATATTCTACTCAGCTCAGCCACTGCTGTGCGGTGAGACGATTGCATAGCCGCCTTACGATCAGATACAAAAAACCGCATCAAGAGTGTTTAGAGCTGCTCCACTCACCGTGACAAGGTCCCCCTCCACATAGATGTTCCTCATATTCAACTCATCCACTGCTGTGAGGGAGAATACTCCTTAGACGCCTGAAAAAAAAAAAAAAACTACATGGAGGCAGCTCAAACAAGCTCCACTCACCGTGACCAGGTCCCCCTCCACGTATATGTTCCTCATGTTCAACTCATCCACTGCTGTGCGCCGCCTCTGGTGAAAGCCAGGGAAACCCAGCACAATAGAGAGAAGAAAAGGAAAGGGTGGGAAAAGAGAGGGTCAACAACATGGATAACACTGGAAACAAACAAACACAATCGCTCTTGACAAGTAAGAATTAAAATAGGCTTCGTCTGTACCACCCCGTTACAGCTGCTAAATAGATTCTTCCAATACCTCTGCCTTGTGCTGGTTGATAGAAGTCTCACCTGAGCCCCCCCCGGCAGGTTGATAGCGGAGAGCATGAGCTGCGCTTCATGTGCTGACCCCACAGCCAGCTTCCACCGCTTGGGCCGGCCCCACCTTCCCCACCCGCACCGGACCTTACCACCTGCCCTTTCCCCCCACCCGCGCCCCCTTTTACCTGCGCTCCCCCCGGCAGGTTAATGGCGGAGAGCATGAGCTGGGCTTCATGCGCCGACCCCACAGCCAGCTTCCAGCGCTTAGGTGCGAGCTCTGTCACGCGCCCCACCACCACGTCTCCTGTCTGCGCCACGTACCTGGGGTGTGGGGAGAGAGGGAGGCACAAAGGGGAAGGAGGGGGGAGGGGAGGGTGTTTTGATCCACAAGTGCATTGCACCACTGCAACTGCTTGGGGGCGAGGTCTGTCACCCTCCTCTCCACTGCAACATCTCCCGTCTGCCCACATATCTGAGGTGCGGGGACAAAAGAAGTGGCGAGTTTTGAGACGTCTCAAACGTGCAGTCAGCCGGGATTTTGTTGAGGGAGAGAGTGAGATCTGTTACCCTGGCCGGCCTGCCCTACCCACATGACGCACACAACATGACACGACATGACACGACACGCCAGTACAATGCATCACATAACACTGCGACGCACCAGGTTTTGAGAGGTTGCACGGAGAGCAGGCGGTTGATGCGCTTCACCACTCCGCACACCGTCGCGCACACCTGCCCCTCCTCGCCCTCCCTCGTGCCGTGCCCCCTGCCAATTCCATCCAGGTGTACAGAGGGGGAGGAGCAGGGCAGAGCAGGGCAGAGAAGGGCAGCAGCACAATTGTTAGCTAAGAAGATGAGCGCACACCGTGGCGCACACCGTGGCGCACACCGTGGCGCACACCTGCCCCTCCCCGCCCTCCCTCGTGCCGTGCCCCCCGCCAATTCCATCCAGGCGCACAGAGAGGGAGGAGGAGCAGCAGCAGCATTGCTAGCTAGAAAGTGTTTGAGTGAATGCAGCAGCATGATTGCAGACGCAGTGAAGGTGTTACCTGAGGAAGGCTTTACTTAAGAAGGGTGTTACCTGGAAAATCTGAGAACTGTGTTACCTAAGGACGGTGTTACCTGGGGGCGGTGTTACCTGAGAAAAGAAGCATCGGCACCGATCGGGAGGGCGCCCCCGACGGCGACGATGGACGACAGCCGCACGCTCGAGTCGAGCTAGACAGGGAGGTGTTAACTGAGTACGGTGCTACGTGAGAAAGGCATTACCTGAGGAAGGATGCATCGGCGCCAATGGGGAGGGCGTCGCCGACGGCGACGATGGACGACGGTCGCACGCTCGAGTCGAGCGCGCGGAGTCGCTGCAACGCGGCGTCTAGTCGCACCTCCGCCGCGCTGTCGCGCGCAAACCCTAACGACATCGTCGCCCGTCGCTTTGTAGCTCGTCCCTTCTCGCTCGTCGGTCGTCGCACGTCGCAGGTGCAACGAATCGTGCTAGAAGAGTGAAATGCACCAATGACACACCGAGGCCTGTACAATAAGCGAGCTATGAGTTTCCCGTGAAAATCCCAAGGTCTGGTGCCAGACACAAACCCCTGCGCCTCGCGCCGCCCCCAAAATCTAGGCTGGTTTCCAAATCAGTGGCAGGAGGTTACCCAGACATGCTTTGCGAAGAGAATTGGAGCTCGCGGGTTTTGAGGGTTCGTAGGACGAGAACGGCAAGTGCTCGCCAACTGGAAAATTGGCGACTGGATTGTAAGGGCGCGTGTCTTTTGGTGTAGAAGTTCAAAAAAAAGGTCGAACTTTTGCTGGTAACCATCTTCGCCAATTTCGTTAAGAGCTGTTGACGACGATCGTGTGTCCAAGCTCAAAGTTGCCGAAACAGAAGGACACTGAACTAGGGTCGACCTCGCATTCGACTATCCCCGAGCACTTTTCTCCAATCGTGTGTTCTTCTGCCCACGCACGAAGAAGCTGCGAGCTTCGCGATGGTTACGAACAACGTCGCGCCAGGTTACCAAAGCTGAAAGTGTTAGCGAACTCCACTGTATAGACAGGGTAACATACGAAAGCTGGGCGCGTACTTGTGCCATGTACTCCTCGTCAAGGTGAACACGCGACTCGACAAATGAATGACGAGATAGTCGACTACTGGTCGACCTGTGTTCATTTGCAAAAATTCGACCTAAAAACATGAACTTTGGCCTAGATTTCAAAAGACACGCGCCCTAACCGGGATAGAACATGTAAATAATGTCTTTATAAACAAATTTACAATGAATTGCGTTTTGTGTAAGAATTGCATTATAGAGTGATGCACATGCGGTTTGGTGAGTCATAGTACCATAATTCATGGCTTTTCATGCGAGAAACCTTCTCATCATAGCCTGAAAGGGGTGGGGAGGGCGAGATAGCAAATGGAGAGGTGGTAGGGTAATTAGAGCCGAAAAGGAGGAGGCAGGGAAGAACAGGAAGCGGGGAGAAGAGAGGCTCGCAAAACGCGCTTCAGGAGAATAACAAGCGTTGGGAGGAGGAGGGGAGGAGTGTTGAATGGAGGCAACGCTGCTGCTTCTAGTGATGTGATTGTGTGATTGTGAAGGGTTGAAGCTGCTAAGACAACCCACCTGCGATCCAGTTATTGTGTAGAATCACACACCCTCTTCTTTCACACTCCTCCCTCGCACTTGCACTCCCAGCAGATACCACCTCCCCCCGGCCATCAGCACCAGATAACACCTCCCCCTGCGTACTTCCAGCATCTCCCTCCCTGGGCCCCCACAGCTGGTAAACCGCCCCGTTCGGAAACTGCTGACGTGGCAGGAAGACTACTCGCAGGCCATTGGTCCACTGGCACGCGTCAGAGCCCACCTGGCATGTGGCGGTTGGAATAGGATGGGTGATGGGATGAGAGCAGTGAATGGGTGGCATGGTCCACGGGCGGCAGGACAAAAGGGCGGCAGGACAAAAGGGCGGCAGGATGAAAGGGCGGCAGGATGAAAGGGCGGCAGGATGAAAGGGCGGCAGGATGAAAGGGCGGCAGGATGAAAGGGCGGTGAGTGAGAGTGACAGCAGCATGTGCCATGGAAAAAGAGCAGCACTTTAACGTTCAGACAAAACACTTTACTCACCCGCCTCTCCCCGTGCTCCCCACACAGCACATCATAGAAGGAGGGTTGCCCCGACAGCCGTGAGTGTGCCGCATGCTTCACTACAGCGGTGAGTGAGAGTGAGAGCAGCACAAGCTAAGGTTAACAGCAGTGAGAATACATTGCTTACCCGCCTCTCCCCATGCTCCCCACACAGCACATCATAGAAGGAAGGTTGCTCCGACATCCGTGAGTGTGCCGCATGCTTTACAACGGCAGTGAGAGCAGCAACGGTGAGGGGGTCGGGGCGAGCGAGGTAGAAGCCACTGTTGATGCGGCGGATAGAGTTGGCTGGGAGCGAGGGGTCAGGCTCGTTGCTCTGATGGCGGGGGCGTGGAGCGCAGAGGGCACAGGAGCCGGTGGAGTGAGGGTAAATAGACTGATGGTCGGGGCGAGCGAGGTAGCGGCTGCTGTTGATGCGCAGGATGGAGTTAGCTGGGAGCGAGGGGTCAGGCTCGTTGCTCTGAAGGGGAGTTCAGCACATGGGGTGAGTGAGAAAGGGAGATTGAGAGTGCTTGACGACAGCAGTGAGAGCAGCAACGGTGAGGGGGTCGGGGCGAGCGAGGTAGAATCCACTGTTGATGCGGCGGATGGAGTTGGCTGGGAGCGAGGGGTCAGGCTCGTTGCTCTGATGGGTGGGGGGGAGGAAGGGAAGAGGAGCATACAGTGCACGGAGAAGCATGCACTACCAAGGAATGTAAGGAGTGAGAGGGGTGGCGGCCAACAAAGCGATAATAACGGCGAGCGAGGTAAAAGCCGCCGTTGATACGGCGGATGGAGTTGGATGGGAGCGAGGGATCGGGCTCGTTGCTCTGATGGTGGGGAAAGTTCAACACATGGGGTGAGTGAGAAAGGGAGATTGATAATCCTTGACCACAGCAGTGAGACCAGCGATGGTGAGGGGGTCGGGGCGAGCGAGGTAGAATCCACTGTTGATGCGGCGGATGGAGTTGGGTGGGAGCGAAGGGTCGGGCTCGTTGCTCTGATTGGGGGGGGAGAGTGGCATACAGTGCACGTGGAAACGGGTACAAAGGAGTGGTGGTAAGGGGAAGTAAAAAGGGCGAGCGAGGTAGAATCCACTGTTGATGCGGCGAATGGAACTGGCTGGGAGCGAGGGATCAGGCTCGTTGCTCTGATGGGGGGGGAGAGTGGGATTTGGTGCACAGAGAAACAGGGGCGGGAGTAAGGAGCATTGATAAAAAGGGGCGAGCGAGGTAGAAGCCGCTGTTAATGCGGCGGATGGAGTTGGCTGGAAGTGAGGGGTCAGGCTCATTGCTCTGTAGTGAGACGAGGGGAAGGGGGTGGATGGGATACAGTGCATGTAGAAAGAGGAGCGAGTGTAAGGGGACCAATAATGAGGGCGAGCGAGGTAGAATTCACTATTGATGCGGCGGATGGAGTTGGCTGGGAGCGAGGGGTCAGGCTCGTTGCTCATTCCTGTACACCACAACTGCTCACCTGAATTGTCAGCACCCCCTCCCCATTCTGCCACAGCAGCGGCATCGGGTTGTCAAACCACACCACGTCCACGTCACTCCACAGCACCGCATAGCCCAGCCGCAGCACGCGCAGCACCCACAGCACATGGAAGCTGACTCATCCCATATGCATCTCACCTGTATCGCCAGCACTCCTTCTCCATTCTGCCTCAGCAGCGGCAGCGGGTTATCAAACCACACCACGTCCACATCGCTCCACAGCACCGCATAGCCCAGCCGCAGCACGCGCAGCACGGCGCGGCTCTTGAGCTTGGTGTAGTGCCGGAAGCAGTGGCTGTTGAAGGGACACGCCTCTGGCCCTGCTCCCTCTGCTCCATTTGATCCTTGTGCCCCTGCTGGTAGTGCTGCTGCAGCAGTGGTGTTGTTGTAGAAGACAGGGAGGCCGTGCAGGAGAGCGATGCGGTAGGCGGTGGGGTCGAGGGCTGCTACCAGTAGGTTGGGCACTGAGAGACGACGTAGCCTGATGGAATGGGGAAGGGAAGAGGAAGGAGAAGAGGATGGGGAAGAGGGGCGCTTGAGCTTCGTGTAGTGCCGGAAGCAATGGCTGTTGAATGAACAGCTACCCGCCCCTAGCCCCTCTGCTCCCTCTGCTCCTTGTGCTCCTGACGGCAACGCTGCTGCAGCAGCGGTGGTGGTGTCGTAGAAGACGGTCAGGGCGTGCAGGAGAGTGATGCGGTAGGCGGTGGGGTCGAGGGCTGCTACTAGTAGGTTGGGCACTGAGAGACGACGTAGCCTGAAGGGGTGGGGAAGGGGAAGGGAAGGGGAGGGGGAGGGGGAGGGGGAAGGGCCACGCCTCTGGCCCTGCGTCATCCGCCCCTGGTCCGTGTGACCCTGGTGATAGTGCTGCTGCTGCTGCTGCAGCGGTGGCGGTGGTGTTGTCATAGAAGACAGGGAGGGCGTACAGCAGAGCGATGCGGAAGGCCATGGGGTCGAGGGCTGCTACGAGTAGGTTGGGTACTGAGAGACGACGCAGCCTGGAGGGGTGGGGATGGGGAAGAGGAGGGGAAGAATGGCTCTTGAGCTTGGCGTAGTGCCGGAAGCAATGGCTGTTGAAGGGAGACGCCTCTGCTCCTAGTCCCTCTGTTCCTAGTGCTGCTGCTGCTGGCAGCGACGCTGCTGCTGTGGTGGTATTGTCAAAAAATACAGGGAGGCCATGCAGGAGAGCGATCCGGTAGGCGGTGGGGTCTAGGGCTGCTACTAGTAGGTTGGGCACTGAGAGACGACGTAGCCTGAAGGGGTGGGTAGAAAGAGGAGGGAAAGAAGGATAAGCTGCACGCACAGAGCACATGCTGGAGGACAACAAGCGTTTAAATGAAATGAACTGGCCTGCAAAACGAACAGAAGAGGTAGAAAGGAAAGATGGACAGAGGAAGTTCATAGAAAGAAACGAAAGATAGAAGACTTCTAGAGATTTTAGGAAACAAGATAAGGACTTGGGAAAGACATGGCACGATAGCGCAAACGAAAGAACGACGCACCCACATGCAAGCGAAGCTGAGCAGCATGGAGGCATAGTGGTGAACTCTAAGGTGCCTCAAAAGGCGTCTCATGTTTTACGGCGCATAACATGACGCATGTGACGCACCCACATGCAAGCGAAGCTGAGCAGCATGGAGGCATAGTGGTGAACTCTAAGGTGCCTCAAAAGGCGTCTCATGTTTTACGGCGCATAACATGACGCATGTGACGCACCCACATGCAAGCGAAGCTGAGCAGCATGGAGGCATAGTGGTGAGTGGCCGCCACAAGCACGACCGCCTTGTTCCCATCCGCCACCTCCCCCACCACCTCCTCCAACCCTCTTGGTTGCACCATCTCTACCTCCTCCTCTTTTCGTCCCCCCTCGCCCCCACCCTCCCATCCCTTTCCTCCTTCCAGCCCCTCCCCTGGCCCCCTTCCCACTTCTCCTGCGGCATTTTTTGTTCTCAGGCTTCCCAATAACGACGTGTTGGAAAGGCTTATAGCGAGTACGGGGCGGGGAGGGGCAGGCGGAGGGTCAGGGGAGCAGGCGAAGTAGGGACCGGCGCGGAAGGGGGAGGAGGGGAGGGAGGAGCGGCGGGAGGCATGGGCGTGCTCGCAGGGGCAGATGCCGGGGCGGATGCGACGCATGAGACAGGGATGCTCGCCTGCGTGGATGCAGGAGAAGGGAGAGAGAATGGATGAACAGCCACATCCCATTCAGGGGAACACAACCCACAACAACCCCCCCTCTGGGAAGCGTGGGCGTGCTCACAGGGGCAGATGCCGGGGCGGATTCGGCGCATTAGACAGGGATGCTCGCCTGTGAGGGTGGGACGGGATGCGGGGGAAGGCAGAGAGAACGGTTGAACTGCCACATCCCATCAAGGGGAGAAGGAGCCTCCCTGTGGCGGGAGGTGTGGGCGTGTTCACAGGGGCAGATGCCGGGTCGGATTCGGCGCATTAGACAGGGACGCTCGCCTGAGAGTGGGGGAGTAGGGTGGGTGGGTGAGTGCAAAGTCTGCTGAGAAAGCACCGCCCACACATGGGCTTGCTCGCAGGGGCAGATGCCGGGGCGGATGCGACGCATCAGACAGGGGTTCTCGCCTGTGGGGGATGTGTGTGGGTGGAAGCAAGCATTAAGAGTTGGCTAAGAAAGCACCTCACACACAAGGGAGTGCTTGCAGGCGCAGATGCCGGGGCGGATGTGGCGCATTAGACATCATCTTTGGGGCCATACTATCACCATATCATCTCACCTCCAGGCCCATGGCACATGGCCAGATGCCACCGCAGATGTGCCACTGTAGGCTCTCCTCACACCCCAAACCCAACCTAGTACCTGATTTTACGGCAAACAAACATCATCATTCCCATGCCGTCTCTCTCACCTCTCAGCCCATGGCACATGGCCAGATGCCACCGCAGATGAGCCACTGAAGGCTCTCCCCCCTTCCGCGCCCACTCCCATGCAATCCCTCCTCCCTCATCCTCCTCCTCCCCTCTATCCCCCTCTCCATTCTCCCCCTTACCCCCTTTCCCACCCGGTCCCTCCCCCTGCCTTTCCCCGGTTCCTCCCCCCATTCCCCCACTCCCCCGCGCAGCAGCATCTCATTCACCTGCCCATGCCACGTGGCACCATGCACAGCTGGCAACGCCATCCACCTCCCACTCCTCTCCCTCTCCCCCTCCCCTTCTCCACCCACTCCCCTGCCCTGCTCCCCACTCCCCCGCACCCGCTCGGCTTCTTTCAACAAGTCATACTGAGGGTCAATGCGGATGGCAGAGGCAGCACCTGTGCCATCCACCACATGCATCATCATCATACCCTCCTTGTCCATCCTGTCCACCCCTCCCACGCCACCCACCCCACGCACCAAGCCACGCTCCACCCTCCCATAATCCCCTCGCATCCCACGCCGCGTCACCGGCTTCTCCCCAAGCCCCCTCCCTCTGCCCCTCAACCACTCCCCCTCCTGCTCCCCCCCCATCCAGTACCACACTCGCCGGTGCCCCCACCTGCCCTCCACCCCCCGCCCTCCCTCATCCGCCTCTCCCTTCCTCCCTTCTCGCCCTTCCCCTCTGTCGGTCCCCTCCCTCCCCCTGCCGCTACCACTACTACTACCCCCCCTTTGGCTCGCCCACGCCAGCTGCCGAAGCACCCATTGCCACCCCTGAGGGCCCTGCCCGTACAAAAAGGGCGGCATCGGCTCAGAAAACAACGAAACCCGCAACCCGTCCCGGTTGAATGCAGACGACGCTCCTATGTTGCCCGCTGCTGCTGCTGCTGTGGTGGTCTCTGCATCTCTACCTGCAGCAGAGGAAGCTTCCCGGAACTGTCTCTGGCTCCACATCACAAACCCAATCGGCCCGCCAGTGTCCAGCTCAGCATGCCGCCTCAAGAACCTCCGCACCCCCGCCTCGTCCACGCCAGCCGGCGGCCTGTGATTGGCCGGCTGGATTTCCGGGGGGAGGTTGTCGAGAGCAAAGGGGAACCATGATACCCGCCAGAGAGAAGAGGTGAGAATCCACCGAGGGGATAGGTGGGGAGAGGGAGAGGAGGAGGGGGAGGAGGATGACGAGGACGAGGAAGAGGAGTGAGACAAGGGGTCCTTTCGTCTTAGCAGCCTGCCTCTGTGCACCCTCCCTCCCCCCACTTCCTCCTCCTCCTCTCTCTCTGCTTCCCCATCCTTCCTCCCAACTCTACCACTCCACCACCCCCTCCCCCACTTCCTCATCTCCCGCCGCTCCTGCTCCTCCTGCCACGTCAGCCGCGCTACAGCCGCCATCACATCTCCCAGAAGCACCACGTCAGGGTCTATCACCCCCGCTACATCCGCCCGCTGCTCCCGCATCGCTCTGGCAAACAACGAATTCATTTTAGTCACACCGTCATAAGTCACATCCACGCCTCCCCCCAACAAACCCCCTCCTCCCGTATCCCCTTCCCCCCCATCCCCTTCCGCCAATTCCGCTTCCCCCGCTTCACCGTCCCCCCATTCCCTCTCCCTTGCTCCCCTTCCCCCGCGTCTCCCCCGTCTCACACCTTTCCCTTGGGAACTCCCGCTGCCTATAGCGTGCACGTGCCTTGGGAATTGCTTCGTCAGCCAGACCAGCGCGGGGTGCGGTTGGGAGTGGTTAAGAGGGTGCGAGCCTATTAAGTACACGTGAGGCGTGTAGGGAGGCGGCGCGAGGCGCAGCCACGAGAGCACGGCGCGCTTTAAAGCCGTCATAGTCGTGTTGTACCCGATAGGAGCCGTGTACAGCGCGAGGGAGGGAAAACGCCGAGCCTGGCTTGGTTCGGAAGAGCCACCTCCCGAGCCTGTTGGCGCGGCTCGGCCCGAACCCGAACCCGAACGTCCTGGTGCGACATTGTAACTACTATGACTAGTGAGCTTTCTTCGTCCGCCGCTTTCCAGCCGCTGAACTCGAGACAATCCCGAGGCATTCTTAAGAATTCCCCAAAAGGGCTCGTGCGGTCGATTCTGAAGAATGACTCGGGGTGGACTCTGAAGCAGCTCGGCTCGTGGGTCGACGACGATTTGGTCGACCCTGAGACCCTCCGGAAGCGTCGCGGGATTTGATTGGCCGCTGACGACGACGCGCCAATGGGAGAGGTCCGCGCATTGGGGAACGCGAGCCACGTGGCACGCGAGGGTTAGGGCGAACAGGGAGATGAGCACGTCGCGCGCGGACAGCGACGCACGGAGAAACTCTATAAACGCGAATAGCTTCATCCGCGACTAACGCATGCGATATGAATCAATAAGAATAGATAAGAATCGATAAGAATCGATAAGAATCAGTAAGAATGAATTTGAATCGACGTTTGCGATGCCTGTACGATTTATGAGCGCATTATGTAGTTTGCTAGATTAGGCGACTACTGTAGAGGCGCTCCAGGACCAGACCACGCTATACGAGCGTATTATGCTACCTGAGGCGGCTATATTCTACTGTCGCCGTCGCCGTCGCCGCCGCCGCCGCCGCTGCTGTCGCTGCGTGCCAGGCGCACATCATTTCACGGCTGGCCGATAACAACAATCAACCCTGCTTGCTGCAGGTTGATTTGGTAGGTCGCGGAGTCGCGGTTCGCGCTTATGGTACGGTACTGTAGTGCTGAATGGAGGGAACAGAGCATGGCGGCGGCCTCCCTGTTACGGTAGGACTCGCTACATGATATCCGTATACATACAACTAGCATGATGTAGCGAGTTGGGTATGAGCTTCATATTGGGTATTGTTATTCCCTTACCCAACAACTAACCACTTCATCCGAACTGCAAAACTGCAAAGTGAACCCGGACTCTAACACTAACATGGACGAATCTGAAGGAAATGCATGCATAATACTTTTAAAAATGAATATATGAATGAAATGAAATGAATAAAACAAAATAATAATAAAACGAGCTATCAAAGAGATATCCTTATAGCCAGCAGCTAAAATAGTGACCCCCCCCCTTCTAGTTGGGTCCACTTGAAAACTGAAGTTTTTTTGGAACGTTTGTAAAGTTGGAAGTGATGTGCTTTTTAAAAATTTTCACTCCAGACGAGTCTCCGTGTGAATGTGAATATTCGAAACATGTGCACAATTCTGATTGGAAGCGAAACACACACACAACTCACACATACTTGTATGCGATTTTGGCGCAAGGCTGCAATGCATGTATTCACTCTTGAGCAATGATCGTCCCTTGACCGAAACATCACGTGAATCAACCACTAGGCAAATTCCAGCGCAGACCAGTATGCACGAGATGAGAGTGAATGTGGGCCGACGACCTGGCATATCTGCGAGAAAAGGCGTTCCTTTGTATTTGAGAGGCTGAAAGAGGTTATAAATTAGTGAGTCGAAGAACGAGGGAAAAAAAAAACCTGGACAAGGAATCACAAACGGATAGTACGATTGAGATGAGGAGAGAGAGAGGATCAACGGGATGGGAGAAAAGAGATGGCGAACGACGGGATGGAAGGGGAGAGGAGGAACCAGCGCGCAGGTGACGGGAGGGAGAGCACGAAGGCGACAAGAGGGAGAGCACGCAGGCGACGGGAGCGCGCAGGCGACGGGAGGGAGAGCGCGAAGGCGACAAGAGAGAGAGCGCGCAGGCGACGGGAGCGCGCAGGCGACGAGGTGGAGAGCGCGCAGGCGAGGGGAGGGAGAGCGCGCATACCGACGGGAGGGAGAGCGCGCATACCGACGGGAGGGAGAGGAGGAACGTGAGCGCGATGCCGACGGGAGGGAGAGGAGGAACGTGAGCGCGCAGCCGACGGGAGGGAGAGCGCGCATGCGACAGGAGGGAGAGGAGACAGGCGACGATAGGGGAGGGGAGAAAAAAGAGGTCGATAGGAACGGAGGGTTTAGAGCGAGGGTGACGAGGAGGGAGGGAAGAAAGAGAGGGCGACAGGGGGGGAGAAGAGAAAGGACTGGAGGGTAGGTGATGTTAGACGGAGAGAGGAGCGGAAATAGCTGCTGGAGGGTGGGAAATAGCTACGCGACGTGTGGAAACAGTAGCGCTGCGAAAGGAGATATATGCGCGAGGAGTGGAAATAGCTGCTGGAGGGGGGAGAAATGCTGCGCGACGGGTTTAAACAACCGCCAGGGCAGCGAGCGGGGATGGGAGATACCTACGGCGAAGGGATGGGAGGGAGGGTCGTGAGGGCGATCGAAAGAGTGACGAAAGGGCGACATAACAAGGGCGCCACGGCAGCCAGGGGTCATAGGACGAGAGAGAAACAGAGGGCGATGGTGAAGCGGAGGGTAGCAATCGCCTGCGGAAGGGAATAAAAATACGATTCGAAGCTACGTAACGGCCTTGAGCATTCCTGCATGGTCGAAAGTTACTATCGTAGGCCACAAACACCTAGGTTTAGCTAAAATGTGCTAAGAATAATACTAGAGACTTCGGGTTGGAGAGTAGCTAGCCATGCAACCCCGTGCCAACTTGAAACCAACGTTGTGCTGGCGACGGAAACCATCGCTAGGCAAGAGTCGTGCAGGTGTCGCACGTAGACATGCGACGGAGGAGATCGGCATGTAAAATTATTTTGGCGGGAACAAGTGCTCACAAGATTGGTGAGAGCCAATCACATTTGTTCAAAGTGCTAGTCGTTTTGTTCGGAACAGTGCTGTATCGGACCGAGCCCTGCGGCACACTTTCAAGATGGGACGGGGTTCATTATTTTATATCTCGGTTGGACTCTCCCTTTCTACAGTTCTTTTCTCTACATAATATACAACACGGGCCATGCTCTTGCCAGAGCACACCCCACAATTGTGACCCCACATACTCCTCCCCAGACCTTCCTTAGCTAGGAAGTTCCTTTGCCAAAGATTCGATGCTTCTTTATTCACCTTTTTTGCTGTGAAGCACTTCCGCACCATCCTGGCAGGCTTAATGAAGCACGCAGTGGTGGTGTTCGGCCAGTATCAAACCCACTCCACTGCCACATCACATGTATTTCTGGTTCAACTCCTTTGCCGTAAAGCTCTTCCTTGCCGTAATTCCAGCAGGCATCAACTCCTTCGCATCGCAGCAATTCACGTGCGAGGAGCCTGCTTCCACTTTTGGATCCACGGGTGCTCTGAGAGAGAAAGACGCATCAGGGTCACACGGGAAAGGCAAGGCAGGAGAAAAGACGGAAGTTGGTAAAGGCAGGGAAGTTCAGGGGGCAAGAAGTGAGAGGCCTGCTTGAATGCCGCATGTCATTGTAACAGGTTACACAACTCACCGAGAATATCAAGAGCTCCAATCCGCTTGCTCGCATCCTTCACCAGCATGCGAGCAACCAAGTCCTTATCCTCCTCCGACACGCCCTCCCACTCATGAGCTCACTCAAAAGGAAAAAAATGTGCAACAGACTCAAAAGCTGTTTATTCACAATTCACTCACCGAGAATCTCAAGGGCGCCAATCCTTTTGCTCGCATCTTTCACCAGCATGCGAGCAACCAAGTCCTTAGCCTCCTCCGACACGCCCTCCCACTTGGCCCCTCTAAACGCCACCTCTTTCTTAAGTATCCTCTCCACCACCGTCCGGCTTTTAGACCCCCAAAACGGGGGTGCGCCGCTAAGTACCACGTAAAGCACCACCCCCGCGCTCCATATATCCGCTTCGGGACCGTAGCTCTGCCTGAGCACCTCAGGAGCCATGTATTCTGGCGTCCCCACCGCGTCAGTTAAAGGTACACCGCGTTGGAAGGACGTCGCCACGCCAAAGTCGATGAGCTTTATATCGGAGTCGGAGGAGCGGCTTGTAAGGAGGATGTTTTCGGGCTTGATGTCGCGGTGCGTGATGCCGCGGCAGTGGCAGTGCAGGAGGGCTTCGATTAGGGCGGCGCAAAGGCGGGCAGCGGAGGGCTCGGAGAGGCGGCGGAGCGATCTGATTCTGTCGAAGAGATCGCCACCCGGTAGGAGCTCCGTGACAATGTGCACGTGCTGTGGGGCGGGGATGGAGGAGCAAAGGGGATTGGATGGGAGGGGAGAGGTGGCGTGGTGTGGTTAGGGGTGGCGTGGTTAGGGACCGGATGGGAGTAGAGAGCATAAAGAGATCGCCGCCCGGTAGGAGCTCCGTGACGATGTGCACGTGCTGATGGGGCGGGGGAAGGGAAAGGAAAGGGAGGGGGATGGGAGGGGCGAAGAGAGGAGAGGACACGGAGTGTTAGTGGAATGGTGGCAAGGCATTATCAGAGGATGAGAGAGCAAGCGATACTGGTACATGTGAAGAGCTTCATGACGACATACACGTGCTGTGGAGGGATGGGTGGAGAGAGAGAGGGAATCACAAGCCATGGGTCAAGACAGACCTGAGCATCCTCAAAAGCGTCCTTGATAGTGACAACAGTGGGGTGACCAGCCAGCAGCTCCAGGCAAGCCACCTCCTTCCGCACATCCTCTGCATCCGCATGCGTCTTGATGCTCGCCTTGTCTATCGTCTTACACGCAAGCTCCTCCCCTGAGCGCTTGCTCAAGCACCGTCTGGTTACCCCAAACTGCCCGGTGCCGAGGGGGGTTCCCTGGTAGTCTATACTGTAAAGGGAGTGCACGTCTGAGTATGAGCGGCGTAGGACAAATTCCGCCGGCCGGAGGCTCCTGAATTCCTGGAACGAGTCGCCCATGCCGTCCACTGCCACGCTGCCACGTCGCACCCGCGCCTCCCCCTGCTGCTTCTGCTGCCCCTGCCCTTTCCCCTGCTGCTGCTGGTGGTGGTGGTGGTGCAAATCCTGCCACTTCTCTTCCTCCTGCTGCTGCTTGTCTTGCAGTAGCTTCGGCTCCTGCTTAAGCTCCTCACACTGCTCCTCCGGCTGCTCTTCTCGCTGCTCCTGCAGCAGCAGCTGGTTCTGTTTCAGCTGCTTCAGCTGGTCATCATAACACACAACACCACCACCATCGCCACTGGCTGAACAAGCAGCGCCACGTGGCGTCTTCTCACAGGCGGACACGGCAGCGCCACGTGGCATTGTCCCATCAGAGGGCGCGCAGAGGGGGAGGAGGGAGAGCGAGCGGGCGTCCATGCTGTGAGAGAGGGGGGTGCGCATGCGCAGGCGCGGCAGCGATGGGAACCCTGCTGCCTTCACACCGTTACTGCTGTTGCTGCTGCTGCTTGTGATCATAATGCTACTGCTACCATTTGTGATGGCGGTTACGGTGGTGCTGCCGCCGCCGCCGCTGCTGTTGCTGCTGTTGATGGTGCTGGTGTTGCTGTGACTGTCACGGTTACCACCACACCCTTCCTTGCTGCTGCTGCTTCTGCTCAGGTGACTCAGCGCCGAGCCTGATCCCCTGCCTTGTGCCGAACCAGACCGTTCGGTTCGTTCCCTCCAGCTCTTTGCCAGACCCAAGCCTGCTGCCAGGGGTGTTTTCCCAGAAACCGGCGCCGAGCCTGCTGCCGAAGCTGAGGTGGAGACTCGGCGAGCGAGGGACGGAGCTGGAGATCCCAAAGGAGAGGGGAGGGGAGCAGGGAGGGTGGAGCAGGAGGAGGAGGAGAGGGGGGAGGGGAGGGGAGGGCGAGGAGGGGTGGTGGTGGGAGAAACGAGCGAGTGAGGATGGGGGGGAGTGATTGGGGAGGGGAGGGGGGAGCTTGTGCGCGGATCACGGGAAATGGACTGTATTGGGGAAGTGAGTGGGGAGGAGGAGGGGGAGGGGATGGGGGAGTTTGTGCGCGGATCACGGGTGATGGACCGTAGAGGGGAGCGGGGAGTGGGGGAAGCGCGGGAGGTGTGGGGGGAGCAAGGCGGGTGAGAGGAGCGAGGGGCGAGCAGTGAGGAGGAGAGATCCAGGTCTCTCCGCGTGAGCGAGGAAGGTTGAACAGGCACAGCAGCAACGCTCTCTGGGCGAGTCTGCTGCTCGCATGCTGCTGCCTTGGCACCTCCCTCTTGCTGCTGCCATGCCGCCGCCCTGCTACCGCCGTCCACACACCTCTCTCCCCTTTCTGCCGCGCCGGCCATACCACTCTCCCCAGCGGCCGCCCCGCTACTACCAACCACACCCCTCGTGACAACTCCACCCCGCGTGCTACCCGCACCCTTCGTGCCAGCCGCGCCCCTCCCCTTTGCCAGTTCCGACAGCCCCACAGCTCGGCGCACCTCCGCGCCTCCCGCCCTGCTGCCCCTCCCCCCGCTCCTCGCCTTCCCCCCTGCTTCTGCTCCTCCTCCTCCTGCGACAACTGCCCCTCCTCCTCCCGCTGCTTCTGCTGCTGGTCGTGCTGCTGCTGCTGGTGCTGCTGCGGCGGCGGCGGCGGCGGCGGCGGCGGCGCCGGGTGCTGTTACCGTTGCGCTTCGCCTTTCCCGCTCGCTGCTCCACGAGGGTGTGGGAGGGGCGGGGGATGGTCTCGGGGAGATGGAGGGGTTGGGAGCGGTTGGGAGCGGAAGGAGAGGGCTCCCCCGCTCGCTGCTCCACGAGGGGATGGGAGGGGCGACAGCTGGTCTCGGGGAGATGGAGGGGTTGGGAGCGGTGGGAGTGACGGAAGGGGGAAGCGAGGAAGGAGAGGGGAAAGGGTTGGGAGAGGGTGGAGCGGTGGGATGGTCAGAAGGGTTAAGAGCGGTGCTGGTGGGATGGCAAGTGGTGTTTAGGAGAGGCGGAGACGGGGGGAATTGCGCGGATGAGGGGGATTGAGTGGATGGGGGGAATTGCGCGGATGTCCGGAGGAACGATGGCGTGGCAGGGGGAAGGGTGGGGGAAGACGGGCGGAGGAGGGGGGAGAGGGGGCGGAGGGGAAAGGGAGGGGCGCGGAGGAGCGGGGGAGGGGAGAGGAGGGGGGAGGGGGAGGGAGGGTGTGGCGCGTACGAGGTGGGGGAAAGGTGGGGCGACGCATGAGGCAATGCGGGCGAGACAGGGCGCATTGCGTACGGCGCGGGGGGAGACCGCTGGGGAGCACTAGCGCGCACTTTGGGGGAGACTGGGCGCAGGTGGGGGGAGACTGGGCGCAGATGGGGGGAGACTGGGCGCATTTGGGGGGAGACTGGGCGCAGGGGGGAGATTGGGCGCATTTGCGGGGAGACTTGGCGCAGGGGGGAGACTGGGCGCGCTTTGGAAGCTGAGGAGTGGGGGAGTAGTGGGGAAGGGGAAAGCGGAAGCTGTCCGCGGGAGAACGGCGGAGGGGAGGCGGGCGGGGGGGAGAAGGAGGGGGAGGCGGGGGGTTGGCCGGACGGCGGAGACTGCGAGCGGGTTACGGTAGATGGATGGGAGGCGCGCGGAGAGGGCAGTGGCGGAGGCGAAGCGGGCGGGACGGAGGCGGGCGGAAGGGAGGCGGGCGGTTGCGCGCGCGACAGCAGGCTGGGTCGCCTGACGAACGCGGGTCCCTGCACCACGCGCGCCCCTCCCCCTCCGCGTATCGGACTGCTGTTTTGAGACGTCTCAAAGCGCGCCTCTCCGCGTATCGGACTGCTGTTGCAACTGTGGCCGCCGCCGCTGCTGCCGCTGATGCTGCCGCTTCCGCTGGTGCTGCTGCTGCCGCTGCTGCTGCTGGCGGTGCGGAAAAAGGAGGCGCTACTGCTGCTGCTGCTACCGCCGCAACTAGTATTGCTTCGAAACAAGGAGATGTTGCTGCTTGCGCCTGCGCTGCTTCCGTCGCGCCGAGGCGACTTTAGAGTCGAATCTAACGGCGCAGGTGAAACCGGCGCAGGGGAAAGAGGCGCAGGTGAACGCGGCGCGGGTGAAAGCGGCGCGGGTGAAAGCAGGGCAGGTGAAAGCGGCGCGGGAGGGTGCGGCGCAACCGTATTCAGGGGGCTGGCGGAGCGGCCGAGCGGTCGGCGCGCAAGGGGGCTCTTGGCGGAGGCGGAACGGGTACGCGCATGCGCGGGGCTGACGTGCGGGGAGACGGGGGACTGCGCGGAAAGAGGACTGCGCGGGCGGAGGGGCGAGGAGGGCGCGAGCGCGGGCAACGGGCTGCGGAGAGGCATAGGGCTGCGCGGAAGAAACGGGGAGGTGGCTCCGCCAGAAAGCGCGGAAGCGCTCTTCCCAAATAGCGGGGAGGAGTTTCCGCGGCCAGCAACCGGAGAGGCGCTTCCCCCCGACAAGGCGGAAGCGCTTCCCCCAGACAAGGCGGAAGCGCTTCCCCCCGACAAGGGGGAAAAGCTTCCCCTCGAAAGGGGGGATCGGCTTCTCCCCGCAAAGGGGGAGACGGCTCTTCCGGGTAACGGGTTGGAGGGGCTTTTGTCGGCTAGCGGCGAGGCGCTCCGCGTCGACAGTGGGCTGAACGCGGTCGATAGCGGACTTGACACGGGGCACGGGCTGGACGCTGCTGACGTGGCAGCGGACGAGCAGCACGGGCTGAGCTGGCGCTCCAGCGTCGAGCACGGGGAGATGGCCGCGGGAGGCCCCGTGCAGAGGAGCAGTCGCGGGGGGAGGAACGCGCCGGGCTTCCGCCATGCAGCTCCGCCTCCTCCGCCTCCGCTTCCGCAGCCGCCGCCACCGCTACCACCACCACCGTCTTCGCGCGGCCATGCTGCCGCCCCGCCGTCCTCCGCCGCGCGGCGCCAAAAGCCGTCGTCCGCGGACATCCCGCCGCGCCAAGCTGGAGACGTGACGGACTTCTCCCACTCATGGTTCGGTGACGAGCCTGCGCCCGAGCCTGTCCCCGAGCCTCCTGTCACCATTCCCTGGGGACAGCTGAGCGGACTCGAAGTGCGCATGCTTGTTCCGCGCAACTCCGCCGTCTTTCCCCTTCCGAGATGAGGGGAAGCGCATTCTGCGCCGACCCGCGCAACCTCGTCCCCTCGCATTCCTCCGGCGCCGGCGCGGGGCGTTTCGCGAGGATCGGCAAAAGCGTCTGCGCTCCTACACCAGTCGGTATCGAAATCGAAAGAATGCGACGGGTTGCGACGTCCGTCGACCTGCGACTGCGACGGGTTGCGACTGTCGAACGACTGCCGCGATGTGCTGTGTCGCGGCGTCGCAGCAGGACTTACGCGATACCTATCCACCGATGGGACCGTTGCGCTACTACTGCTACATCTAACCGAATCAACGTCACCTTGACCGCAGAACGACGGACGTATTACTCCTGACTTGAGACTTTCAGATTCCCCTCCGCTACACGTTACGGGTTCTAACGGACGCGCTTGGCGCGGCTCGAAAGCGACGACGGGGTCGAAAAGGCGCGGGTTGAAGGGGTGCGGTTCAAGGGAGCGCGGATCCAAATGACGCTCCGCCATGGCTCCTGCGAACTCGAACCGTCGAGCTGCGTAAGTCGCTTCCATAACCGCTAGCTACTACGAAACAAAAGAAATGTAAGCGTACGAGCAATGCTCGCCGTTGCGCGGCATGGTTGACCGAATTCCTGACGCCCGACGTCACGCCAACACGCTACTTCTTGACCGGTAACAAGATAACGTCAAAATGGGAGCTTGGGAATAAAATGTCGCTGTTCTCGCTGTACTTCGAGACGACGCTTCGAACACGCGATACCATACTATCATATCGTCACAGTATCGTCCGCGGTAAGAGCAATCCATGGTGGAAACAAACTAGTCTAAATGACGGCACTATTCCTCTCCCACCGCCTTTGCATCTTTCGCCCCGTACGGACTCCTCCTGGGCTGGGCCCTAACACGAACAACGATCGCTAAAACGTCGCTAGGATTGAAGGCTTGAAAGGCAGGAGAATCGCGAGTGTCAC